ATTAAGATACTCTCCTATATTATCTAGTAAAATCTTTATAGTTTTACCTTTCATATTTACATCTATAATCCCCTTGGAATTCACTTTTGTATAGAGTGTGAAGAAAAGATTAGATTTCTTTCTCTTTTTTATAACAATATTCATTTTTCTCAGTACTGTTTATTGAGTTGACTGTCTTTTCCCCTACTGTTTTAAAGTGCCACTTTTATCCATCTGTAGGTACACCAAGACTTTTAACACCTCGGGCTTGCTTACTACAGCTTTATAATAAACCTTATTTCTGATAGAGCAAGACCTCTTGCTTCTTGAACGGATTGGTTATTCTTAATCCTTTTGTAATTTCCATATAAATTTTGGAATCAATTTGTCATGTTACACACACAAAAAAAACCTGTTAGTATTTTGATTGGCTCTGTTGTAATCTATAGTTCAATTTGGGGAAAACTGCTATTTTTCAATATTGAAGCATCCAATCCATGTTATGGTATAGTCTCTCCATTAAGGTCTTTAATTACTGTAAATAAAGTTCCACAGGCTTCTCTGTGAGATCTTGGACATCTTTTATTAGATTTCTTCTTAAGTGCTTCAATGGTTTTTATGCTATTGTAACAAGTACCTTTTAAGAAAAAGTATTTTCAACCTATTTGTGGCTGGCGTCAAGAAATACAATTGATATTTGTATATTGATTTTGTATCAGATTTTAATCTAATTTATCCATAGGTTTTTTAGGATTTTCTATCTACACAGTCATACCATCTGAGAATAATGACAGCATTATTTTTCCCTTCCTAATTCTTATAACCATTTCTTTTTCTTGCAACACTGCACTGGCAGGGGATAACAGTAAAATGTTGATTAAAGGTAATAAGGTGAGCAGTCTTTTCTCCTTTCTGATCTCAAAGGAGCTGTTGCCAATGTTTCACCATTAAGTATGATGATTGTTACAGTATTTTTGTAGATAGCCTTTATCAGATTAAGGATATTCCATTCTACTCCTAATTTGCAGAGGTTGATTTGATCATAACAGACATCAAATTTATCTAACGTTTTCTCTGCAACTATAGAGATATTATTTTTCTCCTTTAGTCTATTAAGTTGGGAAAATATACTGATGAATTATCTAAACTTAGAACACTCTTGCATTCTTGGTCTAAACCCAACTTGGTCATGAATTCTTTTTAATAAATTGCAAGATTTGATTTAACATTTTATTTTGAAATTTTGCATGCATTCTCACAAATAAGATTAATCTTTCTTGAGATGTCCCAAGGTATGCGGGACTCATAAAATGAGTTGGGGTCGAGGGGCAGCCAGGTGGCGTGGTGGTTAAGTCGGCACACTTCACTTTGGCAGCCTGGGGTTTGTGGGTTCAGATCCCAGGTGTGGACCTGCACACTGCTCATCAAGCCATGCTGTGCAGCATCCTGCATACAAAATAGAGGAAGACTGGCACAGATGTTAGCTCAGCCAACAATCTTCCTCCAGCAAAAAGAGGAGGATTGGCAACAGATGTTAGCTCAGGGTCAATCTTCCTCACACACACACAAAAAAAGATGAGCTGGGAAGTGTTCCCTTTCTCTATTCTCTTTAAGAATTTGTGTAAGATTGGTATTAATTCTTCATTAAATATTGGAGAGCATTACACAATGAAGCCATCTGGCCTGGTGATTTCTTTCCAGGAATGATTTTAAATGTGGATTCCATTTCTTTAGTGTTTATAAGAACATTTACAGGGCCGGCTCTGTAGCTGAGTGGTTAAGTTTGCATGCTCCGCTGCAGTGGCCCAGGGTTCAGATCCTGGGGGCGGACATGGCACCGCTCGTCAGGCCATGTTGAGGCAGCGTCCCACATCCCACAACTAGCAGGACCTGCAACTAAGATATACAACTGTGTACAGGGGGGGTTTAGGGAGATAAAGCAGAAAAGAAAAAAAAAAAAAAGATTGGCAACAGTTGTTAGCCCAGGTGCCAATCCTTAAAAAAAAGAACATTTACATTTTCCATTTCTTCCTAAATCAATATTGATGTGATATTTTCTAGAAATACGTCTATGAGAATTGTAGTATTCTGTTGCAGTAATGAATTCCAATCTGCTCATATCTTCCTGCGTCCACGGTCCTGGGTAATAGTACCTTCCCACGTTGACTTTAGGTTTAGGTATGCATATTTTGAGGAAAAAGTTCATACCTGTGTGATTACTAGGTCAAAGGATAAATGTATATAATTTTGGTAGGTATTTACTAAATTCCCCTCCATGGGGGTTGTAATCATTTTATCTTCACACTAGAAATATTTGAGTATGTTTCCCCACTGCCTCACCAGCAGGAAACAGTATCAAACATCTGAAATTCTGATAATGATTAAAAATAGTATGTTAGTGTAGTCGTAATGGTATTTCTCTTGTAAGATTGATCATCCTACCCTTATTTTAAAGGTCACTTTTCATTGCTTTTTGTGAACTTATTTCATGACAACTTTTCTACTGCATTGTTCTTTGGAGATTAATTCTTAAGAATTCTTCATGTACTCTAAATGTAAATCCTTTGTGTTATATTTTCTCCAAGTCTGTGGCTTTTGTTTTTTGTTTACACTGCCTTCTTTTGTATTAGGTTTCATAAAAAATCCACTAAAGCTTTTGGTTGGACTTAACTGTATAGATTACCTTGGAGAAAATTCACATCTTTCATACTGGGTCTTTCTATTCATAAACACATTAGAACTCTCCACTTACTTTTCTCCTAGACTTTGTCACTATAATGTTCTCAGTAAGGATTTTGATGTGCATGCTTCATTTTAAGTTCCACGTCTTTCTACAAATTTAGAAAGCTCTCAATTGTTCTCTCTTCAAATATTGCTTTCTATGCCTCCCTGTGATTAAATTTCTTTCCGGATGTTTTACAGGGACACTGGATGTTCACATTCTACTTCTTCTCTCTCTTAAACACCTTTCAGCACTTTCCAAGTCTGTGAGGTCTTCTGGGAAATTTTCTAAAATTGATCTTTTAGTTCACTAGTTTTCTCCTCAGCTGTGTCTCTTTTTATTTCATTTCTAGAAGTTCACCTTGGTTCAAGTCAAGCTTTTTCATTTTTTTAAAGTTAATGCTGGCATATTATTCAATATCAGTTTTTGTGGCAATTTTTGGTGATGGAAATTGGCCCTGGGCTAACATCTTGTTGCCAATCTTCCTTTTTTTTTTTCCTCCCTAAAGCCCCAGAAAATAGTTGTATATCCTAGTTATAGGTCATTCTAGTTCCTCTATGTAGGATGCCACCACAGCATGGCTTGATGACTGGTGCTAGGTCCGTACCCAGGATCTGAACCAGCAAACTCCAGGTTGCCAAAGGGGAGTGTGCAAACTCAACCACTCGGCCGCAGGGCCAGGCCCTGAGATTTTTCTTATAAGTATATTAACGTGTCTTTGTGATTGATGCATTACTTCCAGTTCTTGGAGTACAGATTCCATTTGCTGTTATCAGTTTATTTTCCTCACACCTTTTCATTTCCCATCTTGCTTTTAACTGAGATCTTCTTTTCAGCCAGGCGTTTTCTTCTTTTCTTTTAAAGACTGTTTCATATGCTCTAAGCCATTTCTAACGGATGGGTCAGATTTTTTAAAGTTTTAGGATCTATATAATAGGATATCAATTCAAGATCTATAATCTTCCATGGTCCCGAGGATCTATCTCCTATGCCTGCAACAGGACAAGGCAGGAATGCACTCTCTAGGCCTCCATCTTGGTCTTAAATTCATTCAGCTCATCATTGGTATCAGTCTGCACTTACCACTCTGGCTTTGATTTCTCTCAATTTCTCATACCTGGTGATTTTCATATTATTCTTTTATCTTCAGTTACATATTAAAATTATTTTTTGTTGTATTTCAATAAAGAGATGCTTGATGCTTCTGTTAGGACATCCACTCTCACTGTATTAATTTAGTCACGTTGCCAAAAGTCCTTAGAAGTTTATTAAGAACAGGTTCTGAGTTGTATTAACTTCTGAAATCTATTGATAAATCATATGCCTTTTCTCCTATAAATTGTTGATATAAGTCATATTGATAAACTTCCTTATATTGAACCACCCTTGCATTCTTGGAAGAACACTATTTGATGCATTGAAAGCCCTAAGCAGTTCAAAGGCTCTTTAGCATTAAGGTCGGAGCTATCTAGGAAACTGATGCCCATTTTGGCTCCATAATGGTGCTGAGTTGACGAATATACTTGAATCAAACTCTTTTAGTCTAAGAAGGCTGAAGTAATGGACAAGAATATATTCAGATTTCTATGTAATGCACTATATCCTGGAATCATGCTGTATTTCATGACTGATTCTTTCTTCCTTCAGACAAGAAAACTACATTCCATTTACCATGATCATGTCAACTCAGACCTACCATGTTTATTAGTCAGTCTAACGGTCATATATTTGGTTAGGCTGTATTTCCTTAATTACACTTGAGAGTTAAATGTTAATATTTTATTCAGAATGCATGCTTCTATATTCATAACTGAAATTAATTAGTACTTTTCTTTCTTACATTATTCTTTTAAAATGTTGGTATAAAGCTAATCTTAACTTCATGAAAGGAACTGAATAACCACCAATCTTTTTTAAGTCTGTAAAGTATGACTATTACTATAAATTAAGTAGTCTTTAAACATTGGAACTTGGCTTTAAAAATCATTTGGAATTCATGTCTTTTTAAACAGTACATATTTAACTTTCTACCTTGTGCTATTTATTGTGCCATCAGAATTCTCTCTCTTCTTGGGTCAACTCTGGCTATATTTTGCCTAGTTTCTCCAGATTTTCAAATTTGCTTTGGAGTTAAACATTTTCTTACTCTCTTCCATATATGTAATTCTTTATTTTTTATGGTTCTATATTCAATATGTCATGACTAAGTAGGGTATAACCTACAAATACAAGAGTGGGTTAACATTACAAAATGTATTAATGTAACCCATCAGATTAAAGAACAATAAACAAAACATCATTTTCTCAACAGAGAAGAAAAGGTTGATTATATTTAGTATTCATATGCATGAAAGTATATTAACAGATAAATACATGCAAGCTGTCTTCAACTGGTAATGGGGATATATCAAAAAATACTAGATACTAGAGCAGGTGTAGTTAATTATAAAAACTGGAAGCATTTCCTATGTTTTGCCAGTACACAGCTAATACATTTCCAACTTCATGCCTTATCTCACGTCATTTCCTCTCCCTTGAAATCCTACACTTTTGGAGGGAATCACAGCTCCAGCCCCAATAAAATAAAAGTTCCATATTTTCTGCCATAAAAATGCATACATGCACAAAAGCACAACATTTTATGTAACCATCATAGGATTCACTACCTCCATTCTGCAAAGTGGACTCCGGATTAAAAGCTCCTATCCTACACATAGCCCACTATACACGTAATGCTCAAAAATATTAATGCAGGAAGGTATAAGCACATAAATATGTAAGCAAATACACAACAGCACAGAAATGGATGCAGGCATTCACACAGGCCTATGAAAATTTGTCTAAAGGAACTATTTAAAACATGAAACATAAAATATACTTGGGTTTTAACTATTTATTTACAAAGTTCTTGCTAACACAACTGCTTTTAAAATATAGCAATAAAGGGTCATTTACTATTTAAAGTGGCACATGTGGCATAGAAAACAATCTAGTCAGTTAAACTATTAAGGCAAATAATTGGAAATTGTTAAATGACCATTAAAAGTTGGCAGTACTCCCTAAACAGGTAGGAAATAAAAATGCATTTATTCATAGGAACTTGATTCTTTCGCATTACCGACTATTTAAAAAAAATTGTGAAAAATAACATCAGTGCTTGAAAAATATTTTACAACAGCAAAAAAATGCATTCCAATTTTACATTTAATTATGAAACCACAACAGAAAGTTGTCCATACACGTATCTATGTATTTTACAGCAGGTTAGTAAAACTGATGCCAACTTTAGAGTTATTTCATAAAGAATATAAACAATCTTTACCACAATTTCCCGCATGGTCTTATCCTTCAAAATAAAATTCCATACACTATTGAACTAAATTAAGATTTGCTACTGGTTAAAATCACCATAAATATATTGTCTTTGAAACAGCTACAAGTATACACCAATATCATGTTTGTGCAAAAATATACATTATTTTTTAATCTTTCTGTCCTTATTTCAATTTTCAAAAGTATGTTGGAACAATATCCTTTAAATGTTATTCTTCTTAAGGGCTAATCTTTTTAAATCTGTACGCTAGATCGTGAAAACACTTGAGAATAAAATAAACTGCAAATGGAGCAGCTAAGTAACTACTTCAAACAGCACATGTGAAATAAGACTCCACTATTTAATCAGTACATACTATGCTATCACTTAATTTCTGCACAAACTGAGATACACAAATATGTATTCCCAAAAATTCATTCATGGACATTATACAAAGAGATTCACAGAGGTATTTGGCATCCACCAATAAAATTTATTTACTCTATCAGGTTGCAAAGTTACTGACATCATGAATAACTTAAATTATTGGTCCAATGAAGGATTCAAGAAGACAGAAAAATTACATCAAAATCAGTACAATTTTTTACATGGATTAACTGCAAAACTGTAACAGGTTAACTTCTTTCAAAAAGACAATCAAATCGCATAGGTTAGTGTTATCTACCTTCTTTCCAGCTTTCACCAAGTGCTAATGATAAGTACCATTTAAGTCAGTTTCTTATTTGGTATAAGGTGTTTATAAGCTTCTATAAATTAAGATTTTTTTAAGCTTCATATCAAATGAGTTGTAGATCTACTTAAAGTATGACTTCTCCTTTCAAAAAAGGAAGGAAGGCTGACAAGGGAGGGAGATGGGATACCCTGTAAAGACAAGACAAAGATTTTAGATTATCTTTCAGAAAATTCTAACATACTGTTTAGCATCATGCATATCATTTGTACATTTTACAAATTACCGTAACAATTAATTAAAAGACATCTGAAAATTCTAAACTCTTTAAATATGTTTGTGTGCATAATTTTGCTCCAAATAAAAAATGAGCAAAATTGCAGCGCTTCTGATAAGAGAGATTATTAAGCTACTCAGCTGTCTAAACTTATTGTTTCAGGGGTCAAAGTGAATAACATCAGAATTTTCAACAATAACAAAGAAACATGCACAAGAATACCAAAAACCCAAGAGTGGGTGTAAATCAAAATGAATTATAAAGAAAACTACTGTTTTAACATCCATGAATGGCTAACTGTAGCTAAACTTAGAGCTAACAAGGTAGCCGGCTGTTAAGTTCTCATCACAAGGTAGTAAAATGAAGTGTTGAAAGAGCTGAGTTGGTAAAGTATTACCGTTCAAGCGATAACAAAGCAATGATTTAAGTAGATAATATAAAAGTTTACATCTTCCTCAGGTGAATCTTTTATGATTTGCCATACTAAAGGCACAAATTTATATATATGCCATAAATCTAAGATTAAGAATCAGATTTAGAAAATAAATCCACTTTACATGACACTTACTACTATTCTTTAAAATGATCGTTTTCATAAATAAGAAAATTTGTAATGAGATTGATTTTTTATGGACTTAAGAGTAAATTACCTTGCAAAAATATTTTCCTGTGCCAACACGCAAAGAAACTCTATAAAGCCTAAGCTGTTGTGAATTCGAAGGAGTTATATAGTTGTGAATTCAAAAGTCCCCATCCACCTAATAAGTGATTCAGTTTAGAAAGAATACTTTCTTTTTTAACAAATACAAATTTCAAATAGCTAATTAAGCTCACATTAAACTTCGAGGCTTGTTTCCATTACTGTTGGCATATCTCCTAATTCTTCACAAATGTCAAAGATGACTTGGATAGAACTTTTTTTGAAATTTGAAAAAGTCAGTATTTCCTTCTAGCATCTCTGAAAAACTAGCTCGTGAGGCAGAATGACGGACAGATGGAACCCAGGAGTTCTGAGCGCGCCCACCAGTAGAGTTTGAGCGCTGAACATAAACAAGCTTAGTAAATCCAGTTACATTGCTTGTGGAAACAGAATGGGTAATCTGTCAGAACAGAAACAAGCAATTGAGAGGACACAAATGTCTGAAAGATATTTTAGATACTTATTTATATTTTATTTACATAAAAATGGCAAAACCATAAATAATATAAATTGCCTAAAATTTTTCTCTACAATGCAGTTACTTTCATATGAAAAGCTTGTAAGTTTATAATAGTTATTATAGATGCAGGAAATAAAGAGACAGTACTTTGGCCTTCAGAGCTTATAATCTGATTTTAATAAATGCAAGCTCACTGTATTTGATCACTTTTAACACATTTTTCATTGATCAAATTTCTTTGCATATATTTATATTACCAACTAAGTACAACTCCTCTCTCACCGAAAGGTTAACCTTAATCAAAAATCTGTATAAACATACTTATAGATTTAGCTGTACCTCTTTAATATATTAAGTAAAGGCTTAACTTTTTAAAAAATAAGTTAGTGAGCATTATGTGCCTTGCTGTATAAATTTTATAGAATAAAAGGTAACCACTTATAAAACACTAGAGCACTGTGTGCCAGGGACTGTTCAAAGTGCTTTGCACATATTAATTTATTTAATCCTTACAGCTACCACTTTAGGTTCATTTAAAGACAGTGAAATTGAAACAGATCTTTAATAACTTGCCAAAAGTCACACAGCTAGTATGACAGCAGAGCTGGGATCTGAACATGAGTTCCAGTGTTCATTCTCTTAACCACTCGAACTGCCTCTCAATATAATTGCATCATATGTATGTGTGTGTGTGTGCTGTACGTATTTAGTCCTTATAATAACACAATAGGGTAATATAATACAACAGGATTATATACTATTAATCGCTTTTCTGTCATCTACAAAAATGGGGATGAGAGAATAAGAAACTTGCTGAAGGACACACAACTGAGAAGTGACAGTCACTTGCTTTTCTTAATGTTAGTAGGTTTGATTAATAATAATTTTACAAAGAACATACAGATCACTCATTACTTAGTGACAGCAGTAAAGGTTAGAAATGTCCTTAATATTAATTAAACATCTAATAATTCTGACACCATTGGGAATTTGGATTGTTCAGGAAACATTTAAAATATATACATGAATTGAGAACTCTTATCATCCTTTGAAGTTCACAGCTTCAGAGATTATATTCTACTCATCACAGAAATAGTAAAAGGAATAAAGCTTAGTTTCTGCTACATTATTGGAGCCAATCTGTATAAACAGAACCATTGCTATTTATGTTAGTAAAGTGACAGCCCACATTGAAATGTATCTCTCTTCTTAGAGATTTTAGAACATATCTCAATCCCAATAAAATTTCATATCAAATAAACTACACATTAAGTATGTCTCTAGTTCATTAAGTGAGGTTTTCTCAGTTACTTTTACCCAATTAAGAGGTTAGAAGTTTAAAGATATCTATTTTAAAAATGATGGAGATATTAAGAGTTCCATCTTTAAAAAGTTAACAAATTGCATACCAACTCTATAAATATGAATAAGCCATTTAGCCCATTAAATCAAAGTCACTTACAGCTAATGATGATGTGCTAGACAGACGACTCATTACATGCTTCTCATTGCTGGAAGGACTTCTTCCCTCCACTGAGCTTTGAGATGCCATGAGAGCCCTTCGTAGAGCTCTTTTTGGAGTTTTGGAGAAAGAGAATGCTCTTGTAACCTAGAGTTAAAAAGAGCTATAATTAATTAAGCCTAGACAAGTTTAACATAACTGATAAGAATGACCATGCATAAACAAGGCCAAATGACACATGAAAAGCTTTTCTACAGGGGCTGGCCCCGTGGCCGAGTGGTTGGGTTCGCGCGCTCCGCTGCAGGCGGCCCAGTGTTTCGTCGGTTCGAATCCTGGGCGCGGACATGGCACTGCTCGTCAGACCACGCTGAGGCGGCGTCCCACATGCCACAACTAGAGGAACCCGCAACGAAGAATACACAACTATGTACCGGGGGGCTTTGGGGAGAAAAAGGAAAAAATAAAAAAAATCTTTAAAAAAAAAAAAAAAAAAAAAGAAAAGCTTTTCTACAAATGGTATATGGCAAAATCAGAACCTCTTTGGACAAGGCAGTGAGAAAACACAGTACACTGTAGACCATTCCATGTCGCATTCATAGAGCATCACAGTCCAAGGGGAGAAAGAAACTGTGAGGAAAAACCTGGCCTGGGAGAGAGGAAACTTGGGTTTTTGTCTGATTCCACTAAATTTAGTTGTGAGATATTTAATACAAATCCACTTGAACCTCAATTTCTTTACTGAAACAGTGAAGGAGTTCATTTGAATCATCATTAACATGTCTATCTACTACACATCACACATGTTAAATGCTGAGAGATACAAAGGTGATTAAATAAAGTACAGCTCCTCCCCTCCAACTCAAAGAAAACTAAAGACTTTATAAATCTAGCAGTAGACTACAGCTGCAAATTTCGCCTGGTATATTAAAATTTCAGTTCTTTTAGAAAGTCCTATTTACCAAGATTCTTACATAGTCCTCAACATCTCTGACAAAGTAAGTAGGAAAGTTATCTTCATCGTTAGAACACTGAAACACACTTATGATCAGGAATAGATCCCAGGTCTCCTGACTCTATCATGTGCTCTTGGCTGAAAAACATCTGCAGCAATATTTAAGATGAATGCACATACATCTCTATCTAACACACCATCAGTACATTTCCACCCAGGTATACAGTTCGTAGAAGCATCACTGCAATCAGAATGAGAGGGATAACAAGTTGTTATAATTACTGAGGCAAAGAATTCACGGAACTAAAACTATAATCTCTGTGGACTATTCCCTAGAACCAAAAACAGCTTTGTTTTATAGACTATCTTTACAATGGTGTTTATGGCAATATTATTTTAATATACTCTGAAAAATACATTTTGGAGATATGTTAAATAATAATTTCACTAAGACTCACCTTTTTTGAAGTCTTTTTTATCGCTCTAGAGGCTCTACTCAATGTACTGTCCATATCTTTTGTATTTACTTCAAAGGATTCTGGATCAGCAGTGTACATAAGATTCTCCTGTTGAAAAACAAGTTTCTAATCATTTTAAATATATAAAAAATAAAAACACACAACTGTTTATAAACCTTCAAGCACTTATATACATATGGAAGTATACATAAATGAAGCTACTCAAGATTTTTGATGTGCTTAACATAATTTCTACTCTGAAATGTACTAATTTAAGGAGAGTGGAAAATAAGTATCAAGTAAATGAAAATTCACTGCAAGGACCATGGACACCAAAGCAATTGGATAAAGAACTCAATATAAAATCTTACTAACAAGCCTAAAACTAACAAGTTAGAAATCGAGCAGACATAATGCTTAATTATAAAGTCTGCTAGAAAACCAGTATCACAAACTCTCCTTGAGATAATCTCAAATCAAAACAGAGTTTCTCCTACTTTCCCCTTACTTCCTCAATTAACATCTAGACAGATTCTAAATCAGAGGTTCTGAACCTGTGATCAACGGCTCCTAGAAATGGCAATGGATAGAAATCAGGAGGTATGCAACCCCCATGAAATTATGTGCAAACTTCTGTGTGTACATAGTACAAAGGACATTTTTTCTGAGGAGGGGGTTCATAGCTAATACATTCTGGAAGGAGTCAAAGATTTAGGCCAAGAACCACTAACCAAAATTAATTTTAAACGAGACAACTAATCTCAAGTACTTCAAAATATTACTTGCTCCAATTATGTCTGGGCTTTCAGAAGAAAGCAAGTTAGACAAAATGTTTTTGCATACTTCAGCAGCCAATGTTCACTTTAAATTGATAAATCTAGGCCATGAACCGGCGAGCTGTCTCACTACTCCAGCACATAAGACCATCCTCTAGCAAGATCATTCTGTAGCTAAGGAGAATTTATACAATCTTGCAAATGTTGGTTTTTCTGAACATGTTCACTCTGCAAAATGTAGAAAATACCTGGTATATATAACCCATAGTAATTATAAGGCTCAAACAAGATAATGCACAGTATTTAAAATGAAATATTAAGCCCTTTACAAACACAAGATGTTAAATGAACAGCTGATAAGAATCTCTTCTGATTATACTAGAGTTAAGTTTATCATTCTAGTATTTTTGAACACTCAAAGAGCTTCCACTTTCTTGTTGTTAGGAAATAAACTATTACAATAGCATTAAAAAGTATAAAGTAATACCTAGGAATAAACTTAACCAAGGAGATGAAAAGTTTATCCACTGTAAACTACAAAATGCTGTTGCTGAAAGAACTTAAACAAGACACAGATGAATGGAAAAACATCCTATGTTCATGAAATGGAAGATTTAATATTGTTAAAATGTCAATAACCAAAAGCAATCTACAGATTCAATGAAATCCCTACCAAAATCTCGATGATTTTTTTTTCCAGAAAAAGAAAAATTCATTCTAAAATTCATATGGAATATCAAGGGACCACAAAAGGCCAAAAAGCTTGAAAAAGAAGAACAAAGTTGGAAGTCTCAAATTTCCTTGTTTCAAACTTACTAGAAAGCTACTGTAATCAAAACAATATGGTACTGGCATAAAGGAAGAGAATAGAATGGAATGGAGTAGAACAGAAAGCCCCAAAATAAACCCTCAGATAATATGGTCAAATGATTTGACAAGGGCGTCAAGACTATTTAACAGGAAAAGGATGTCTTTTCAACAAACAGGGTGGAAAAACTAGACAGTCACAAGCAAAAGAATGAACTTCGACCTTTCCTTACGCTATATACAAAAAAACCAACTCAAAATGGATCAAAGATCTAAACATAAGAGCTAAAACTATAAAACTCTTAGAAGAAAATACAGTGCAAAAGCTTCAAGACTTTGGATTTAGCAGTGATTTCTTGGATATGACATCAAAGGCAGAGGCAACAAAAGAAACATAGACAAATTAGACTTCATGAAAAGTTAAAAAATTTTGTCCAAAAGACATTATCAAAAGAGTAAGAAGGCAATCCACAGAATGGGAGAAAACGCTTGCAAATCATCTATCTCATAAGGGATTAATATGCAGAATATATAGAGAATTCCTAAAACTCACCAACAACAAAAATAAACAACCAGATTCAAGTTCAGCATTCACCACCTAAATTTTCTTGAGTTTTTCAAATTTAACTCTTAAATCTATCTATAACTAATGGGAATATAAGGTTAGGATACACACCTAATTTTCTCTAAGCACTTAACCAACTATCTTAGCACCATGTGTTAACAATCTTATTAAATTATTATAATTCTATATTTGTCATACAATAAAGTCTTATTTCAAGGCCGGTTACCCTTTTTGATCTACCTATAAATTTTTGAATCAGTGCACTATTCTGATCATTGTAACTTTAAAAATACAATTTAATAGTTCATAAAGGAAGTACTGTTTTCTAAATTTTTTACTGTTGCTTTTTGTTCAAAAGACCATCTTTAGAATAATTCTGTCAAACTCCAGAAATTTCCTATAGGACTTTATAGGAACTGTAATGAATTTACATCTTCATGGCTAGTCAGCATTCTCATTCAGGAACATCATAAGTCTCTCCATAAAGTATTGTAGTTTTCTTAAAATAGGTTTCACTTGTTCCTTATAAGGCTATTGCTAAATTTACACTAAAATTTCCTAAATGTATATCAAATTTTACTTGAAAAGGGGGTCTTCTCTTCCTGCACTTTCTAGTTGGTTACTGCTAGCATAGAGGAAAAATAGTGATATGCATGTACTTACATTTTATTTAGTTACTCAACTAAACTCTGTTATAAATAAGTTCTAAAGAGTTTTCAATTGGTTCTTGCCAATTATTGGGACAATCGCTTGCAAAATAGCTCTGAATAGTTAACATCTCTTGCCAATCCATGAGGAACAAAGCAGTCAGGACTGTGACTCAAGCTCCGCCTGTCCCTGAGTGTCCCTGCATTCCCATCACATTCACCTGCAAGCTTTTGCCTTAAGATTCCCTATACCTCACAGAGGAGGGATCCCATTTCCCACATGGCTGTACATACGGCACCATAAACTACGCACAGCTGTAGCTTTAGTTTTATGAACTTAATTTTGTTTTTATTTCATTCCATTTTTAATTTTAATTTCATTTGATTTCATTTCAATTTCATCCAATCAGCAAATATATATTGAAAATCTATTATTTGATAGAAGTTTTTTATATTCCAAGACATAGAGGAAAATTCAAAAAAAGGATGTTTTGATGCTGAAATATGTTCTCCTTCTTTGTTTTGTTTTTAAACTACAAAGTAAGTTATCAATGCTCATTCTGAATTGGTCAACTTACATTTTTTATAAACTGAAAACTGAGAAACAATAGAATTAGGTGGAAAACAATTAGAAACAATAAAAGAATTAATTTAATAAAAGAGACGGGTTACAAAATTAACATACTTATATCAAAAATTCACCTATATACAAAACTAGAGAACAACTTAAGCAGCAAAAACATCTCATTTATAATATTATAAAGAGAAAATTACCTAGGAATAAATCTAACAAGAAATGTACATGTCTACACTTATATTTCCAGAAAGATACCTATGAAAGCATCAAAAGTTGCACTGCTGATAAAAAGACTAGTGGGACAAGTACATATATTTTACTACAGTACACTTATCTATTTGATTTTTTTCTTAAGTGCAAATACTATTTTTCAATTTGAATTAGAGTAAAAATTATAGCATGAATATAACTAAATACTGGTAACTTTAATTTACTCCTTGAATAAAATATATGATTTCAAAATGTATTAATGTATATATAATGAAACTAAATTCCAAGTGTGTTTCATTTTGATGAAATGCTCTTTTTATAATGAAGGCGCCCGAAATTTAAACCCCTAAGCAGCTGTTAATAAAGAAGAGATTCGCAGTCTTTCCTATTGCTATCTTAACTACTACTAAGCATATAATAACCACCTATGAACTGAAAAGGGAGCAGATGGCTTCATGTTTTCTCTCAATGGACAAATAAATTGCTTCTGATTCAGTGCGGGCGGGGGGTGAGCAGTAGATATGAGGTCTTTTACGTTTCTAGAAGGCTCTGGGTTCAGAATGACAGAGAGTAAACACCTTGCTCACTAGTTGCTGAGAAGACAACGTAGCTGTTTGCTAAGACGTAACAATGAAGTACTTTCTTTAGTTCTCTCTGCTTAGAGGAAGATAAATAGGGCAAATCACAGGCAAAGTGCAAAAGAGGGAAAATGTATCTTCCGTATTCCTAGGCTTTTTTCTATTACTCTTTTTTTCTCATTAATAATTACCATTAAAATGGTAACTATTCAAAAAAATCCTACTGCTTTCTAATCTATTCCTCTAAATTTCTAAAATAAAAATGAAATTTATACTGGAACCGAAACTCATTTTCAATAACAAACTAAAATAATTTTTACAACATTTTATGACTTATTCAATGTATCTCAAGCATTAAAGCAGCTTGGGAGCAGAAGGAGTTCTTCAGTGGGCCTCCAATTCACATGCACCTGAGAGCAGTTCTAAAGACAGATCGGCCGAGTTTAAGATTAGAAAGTAGTAACCAAGTTCTCCCATTGAGATATAATATTAATTTCAAGGGAAACAGCTACAGATTTCAGAGGTCTACTCACGGGTGCTAATTCACAGAAAATTTTCTAGCATTTCTGACATCTTAAGCCAATGAACCCATCCACATGTGAGTTATCAGACTCTCCTTTCCCTAAGTTCTCCTCTCCCACCAGTCCTCAAACTCACACACACAAAAGAAAAATTATCTAGTGTCATGTGTCCCCTCCCTTAGCCTCTGCCTCTGCCTTAGTGATTTCCTCAAATTCTGTAATTAGGTTTACAGCTTAGAGCTTCTGATTTGGTCAAATTAAAGTAGTACCAATAACAGACATTTATATTAGCAACTTACTATGTATGGCTGATAACCAGAAGAATAATTATAATTTTAACTACATATCGTATTAAGTCCATTATAAATATTGGTTCAGAAGCACAAACTCTTCTGATATATGTTCTATCTTCAGCCTATTTCTCACATAGTTAGAAATTCTAGTTACAAATTTAAAAGCTAAGAATGAATATTACTACTCATAAATAGCCAGTGGTGATTTGACCAAGATGTAGGACAAGTTTGATTTTTAAAAGAAATATAAAGAACTAGTGGTAAAAGTAGTGAACTGTAGCATAGAGTATTTAACTATCAAGTTACTTCTTCTAAACTATTCAAAGTTGGGGGAGGGGAGTTGTAATATTGCTTAAATTCATTTGTTAATAAAATTATACTTTTCATATTAGACGTTAGAAATCTGAAATGGCTTCAGCAAAGCTACCATCTGACTTCAGGCAATATATGAACCTTACGAGTATGGATCATGCAATTAAAGGTTACATGTTGGCAAGAGACCAAAAATACATACCTATGTATTGTGACAGATAAAATTTTCAACAGATAAAAATTTTAATCTAAATCCTGAAATAACAGAATTTGGGATACATCCATGGAGAGAAAAACTACCAAGAGGGTTTAACCAAGAACAAAGATACCTGGATTCTAATGTTAGCTTTAAGCTCTTCTTGATCTTAGTTTCACATGTAAAATAATGACATTAGATTAAGTTTCTTTCAGCCTGAAAATCTTAATTTTTAAGGCATTTACAAATGGGCGTGACAAACAAAATAGTACAGAATAAAACAGTTCTACTTATTTTACTCTTAAGTAAGCTCCAATTATTTAGGGCACCAAAAAATATATGATAGGGAGGACAAAAACTACTGTCAAAGAATCAGATTTTTTTAATATCTTTTACATCCTTTGAGTATATATATTCTTAGAAATACTTTCTCTTCAACATGGCAAATGTTCTCTAATGATAAGACACTGACTCAGGGCTTTTTAAAAATTTACTATGTATAGTATTTTAAATGTGGGAAAGAGCTTGACTGAAGTCACTGAATATCTGAATTTACAAACATATTTTTTAGTAACAAAATTTCACAACTTGAAAGAATTTTGTGGTTTAAGACAGTAAATCAGCACATAGTTAAATGTTTGCTGCCATCTTGTGGCTGATTTAACTCTGTGAAATTTTTTCATTAGCTGTTTAGATTTCAGTTCTAAGATTATTAGCCATCTCGTGGCTAGTAATTCAATAGATTGCATTTTAAGGAAATTTTTCCATTAACTGTTTATGCTTCCATATTATCATTATAAATTTGGAAAGGATTGCATAAGCCATCTAGTCTGACATGATAAATGCAGAAGTAATTTCTACAATAGGCAATCACTGTACCGTAAGGATCTATTTTATATACAGATACCTAGAATTATGAAAATAATTCTTCCTTATAATGAGCATTTTTGTAAGCTTTATAACAAAAGCTATCTTCATCATTTTTTAGCCAGTATTCTGTTGTATGCAGTAGCACTGTATTACCCTGTATGAACATTTTCAGAACAAACCAACCTTTATTTATAACATATTCTTGTCCCATATAAATTTCAAAAAAAACAAACAAATCAAAAAGTCTGTTAATTGTTCTAAACACTGAGGTAGGGACCTTTAATCAAGTATTGTCTATTTAATAAACAATAATAATTATACCTCAATGTCTTTCAAAGTCAGGCTCAATTATAATAAAATAAATGTTTATTCCCACAGGAATGTCCAAGACAATGTCAGTTACAGTACTACCATACTGAAAAGAGTCATCTATCAATACATTCTCCTCTATGTCATTTGTGCAAAGATGAAGGGGTCTGTATCTGTCCATCACATGTCTCTCCCATACACAATGAAGAAAACAAATTATCTTCTAAGGGACCTAGATTTCATCCAAGATCTACACAGGCTACATAGTTTCTGGTGAGTCATTTAACTTCACTAATTTATTTTCTCATATATCTTCACTTTAATCTGTATATGATAAAGATAATTATATACTCACAATGGCATTTGATTTTAAGGGGTTGGACTGAGAAAAGTGGGTTGGCAACTTGCCTGATAGGAAAAGCAACTAGCGACAACTCACATAGTGCTTTCAAGAAGTTTAAAAAACAAAACAAAACACCCTCTATTTTACAAATAGCCAGGTCAAAGAACACCAATGAAAATCACAGGATACATTACAAGCCCCAGAAGCCTCACTAAATCAGAGCCACAGGCTATGAGGGCCTGTCTGCAAGCTAGGGACTCAACGAAATGTTTCATGCATCTAATACTTTTAAAAATCTTTTCCAAATAACTTATTAAACGAGGTGTCCTCAATACACACAAAACTAAAACTGTCTCACATTCATAATTAACAAGGTATTAGAGAGGGACAGGTTTATTGCTATGGAGTTTAAATTTCACTATAGTAGTGGTTTAAGAACTTACAGCATCTGCTTTACAAATGGTGTTGGCTACATGTCGACATAGCATCTTTAGCCAGTTTTCCTTTGGAAGTTCCTCTGATGTCATCTGGAAACTGAGTAGCACATTTGCCTGCTCTGTTGGTGGCCTTACAAGCAAGGCAAAAGCATTATGGCAATCTAGGATTCCAGAATAATCATAAACATTAAATGTTACTCTTTTGAAAATAATAGATTCATTCAAGTTTAGTTCCCTCTGAGCAACAAAATTCCAATGAAATTATCTCTTCCCCATCCTTCAGTCCACTCTTTTTAACTGAACAAAGAATATCACCATATTACGCTGAAATACTGGAAAGAATTAAAATAGTAAGTACCATGTGAGAAACCAAGAATGATAATTTGACATTAAGTAAGCAGTATTTTCCACATTTAATACTTTCTATGACGTTGTTTTTAAAATTAGATTATATCATTTCTTAGAATTCTAGAAGGTTTGAAGCCCCGCACCCCCACCCCAGTACATAGTTGTATATTCGGGCTGCGGTCCTTCTGGTTGTGATATGTGGGACACCACCTCAGCATGGCCTGATGAGCGGTGCCATGTCTGTGTCCAGGATCCGGACTGGCGAAACCCTGGGCTGCCAAAGCAGAGCATGGAAACTTAACCACTGGGCCACGGGGCCGGCCCCTAGAATTTAAGTTTTATAAGAATAATTCAATAGCTCAACCTACTGAAATCAAGTTCAAACAAATAAAATGTCCAAATATCAAAACAGTTAAAAAAATGTTTTGTGATGAAGATGCTAAAATGGAACCTATTTTAAACAATGAAGTCTTCCATAATTAAAATCCAAAAATATGGAGATGATTTAAATAAATGCACTATGTAACCCTTAAACGAATCTAGAATTTGACAACCAAGTAAGGATAGCAACATAGCTGCTGTTCAAGTTTTTTTAAACGTTTCTATTAACTCAAAGCCTTACATCATTAAAGGATGGGATCAGTAATGGAACCAGCTTACACTGTAAAAACATATGTCCAACATCCAAAATATGCCCATGTACATACATCACTAGCTGCCAACTAAACAGATGACACTGTGTTTAGTAGGTACAAAGTTTTAGCAAATTCAGGCCTTCAGAGAACCCTCCCTAACACTAGCAAAGTTGAGAGTACAAGCTTTCCTTAATACACATTTGACCCGTGTCAAGTCTACCATAGTCACTTTGGATGTATCTATTCATGCACATCCTTTCCTGCTCATATCCTAAACATAACCCTAATAATGCCGCCATCGGCAACAGGGAAGGTGTAAGATGCGGAGCACAGGTAACAGACTGGTGGATTTCTTCTGGGTTCTGAAGGAATAAAAATAAGTTTTGGTGTGGGAATAGACTAAGCTAAGGCACTGTTTTGTCATGTAACCATTGAAGGGAGGAAGATATTCCTTAAAGGATGAAGATATCCCACAGGTTGAAATAGCACTTTCATTGGAAAAAAATCAAAAGTAAAGTCAGTTCCTGGAGATGGAGCTGAGACATAAGTGTAACAACAATTATTCTACCAGAACTAACCAACTATATTTAAAGATAATTTACCAGTTAAAAATTAAATAAATAAGGGAGTGAATCAAACTTACAATGAATATAAACTATTTCTATTTAGCCAATAGTTTATCCAATGAGCATACCTTCTGTTTCTCTTATGTCCAGCACCTTCTTAATTTGAGAAAGAGGCATTAGATGAATGTGCTTCAGAGAAGCTGGGGGACGGGTATGGCCATGAGGACTCCTAAAAGTGCCAATAACCTTGTGCCGTTTTCTTGCTATCTGATTGTAGGGAAAACAAAGTCACTGTCAGTAATATGAATAAAAACAATTAAAGACCAAATACTTAAAAATAAAATGGCACTAATCATGTAAATCTGTATGTAGCTCATTTGACTATTAGTCATTCCAGAATTATATGTGATAAGAAGGAGAGTTACTATGTGACAAATTCATCCATGTAATCGTAAAGCAGAAATTGTGTAGCTCTTCTCACGTTTATATGACAAGAGCTCAAAAATCAAGAAAATAGGCTAAGGGACAGGGTCTCTGCAAAAGGTCCCAGAGGTGTGAAAGAACTTAGAAGCACTGTGAGAAGTAACAGCATCGAAGGATAGAGGAATCTTGAGTTCAGGAAGGGGAATAGTTGCCCTGGGATCTCTCTCTTGGATTTAAAAAGATAATTGATACCAGTTTAAGAGCAGAGTTCACAATTATTTCTGATCCCGTGCAAGACACTGAGGTTAAATAGTAAATAATGCAGAAATGGTTCTGCTCTCATATTTACACACTACTGAAAGAGAGAAAGGTTAAAGAGGTAACTAACCAATACACTAAACAAAAAATACAAGTTATAAACTCAAGGTGCTGTGTTAAGATATAACTTTTTCTAAACTGGGAACTCATGCAAAAGAAAGAGATAGGTAAAGTAACACTGGAAAAGGGAGGAGCAAAATCAGAAAAGACCTTGTGATTCAGGATGTACTTCAGTTCTGTGAATTTTATAAGGTCTTTAAATTTATTGTTTTCATTTCCATGAAAGCCTAGTATATTATTTTGCCTTTTCAAAAGAAAATCTCTTAAGGTTAAAATCATCAACTGAAAGACATTAACACAAAATGATTTAGATTAAGTTACTTAATGAATTGAGATTGGCCATGATCGTGAATATGACAAACTATAGCTGAAAATTGTACTACCTTGTATTAGCTAATTAGAAAAGATCAAAAAGCAGTATCATAATCACAGGCAAGCAGAAATAGGACAGAGATCTATGTTACATATCAAATATTAAAAGTTCATTTACATTAATATAGTGAAAATAAGCAATAAAAACTCTTTCTTTAAAGAATTATTTCCACTGTAATATTTGAATGTACTTGTGATGACACCAATGCTAGTACATCAAGGTAAAAAATTCAAAACACAGATGAAAATATATCCTTAAATCCTAAATTAGTTTATCTTCAGTAAACATCATATTTAATGGAAAGCAACATAGATTTTCTTCATTTTAAATGTTTCCAACTTTTCTATACTCTTCATTCCAAATTTGCTAAGAATTGTGTGTGTGTGAGGTTTTTATTTAAACAAACAAGCTAAAGAATAAGAGTTTAGGATTATAAATCTTGAAGTTCGAGTTTAACGTTAGAAACAGAGCTGTTTCAGTTAATGTGACTCTGAGGCAGGGAGGCTGAGAGAGTAGAACAGAAAGTCACAGGTAAAGGAAGTGAGGGGCCAGGGAATCACATAATGCATCTAGAAGTCACAGGGAATGACCAGTTGCAGGAATTAAAGTGGAAGGGAGGTCAATGAGCCAGTTACAAAAGACTTCACGTAATTTGAAGGGGATGTAAGATCAAAAATTTCAAGGAAACCACAACTCTCTCAGGATTAAGGGGGTAAAAACCAGAATGGATTAGCCTATTAGATGAATGGAGCCAGTTGACCTAAGGACTTCAACAGGAAAAACCTTAAAAAGCATTAGTAGAAGCAAACAAATAGAAGTACTGAGCAACTATATATAGTAAAATCCCAAGACAATGCAAATTCAGATAAAATACGACTGAATATTGACTGCACCTACCCCTTTTCTCAAAAGCAAAGTAGGCTAAATTTCTAATTATAGAAGAGACAAGTGAGTCCAGAATTATCTGCTTCATGATTTTTTATGACTTTCTCAGTTTAGGGTACCGTATTTTTCACTGTCTTTTTGTGTTTTGTGACATTAGCAACCAAATGAAAATATCATTTTTCACTAACCTCGCAACAACCTCTGCATTTAACACAAGAGAATTTTGGGTGAGATTTTATTGTACCTGTAACTGTGCATGGCTTGTTCTCTAAGACTCTCTTGTATTTTATACTTTAGATAATAATGTGCATGATGTAAGAGGGCAGCACTAGAAGAGAAGTGAAGTAAAAAAGGTTAAAAGGAAGCAAAGACTTTAAAGAAAAAGCAAACCCATCAAATCACTTTAATGAAAGCAAGAGAAAGTTACCCAGTTACAGAAATGTCAAATTAGTCTTCTGGTTAATGTCTGTTTTATCAAAATGTTTTGTCTTCTGAGATGAAGGAAAATAGGACTCCCTTTATATCCCCCATTGGACTGTTTAGTTGTTTAAAAATATACTATTAAAATGAGGAAAGAAGAGTTGAAAAAGCACACAAACATAATTAAATTTGCCTGTAGGGTTAATATGGGGGAAAAAATTTAACTTAGATAGATGAGAATTTTAGAATTAGAATCAATGCACCCCATCTGATATACTGGCCACTCAATCACTCTAAAACCTACTGACTTAAGGAAGAATCAGGGGATCATAATTCATAACATTAAATAATCAAGTTATCTCCCTCTTCAACAAAATACTGACTTCTTTTTCACTAAAAAAACTACTTAAATTTCTAAAAGAAGAATTATTTTGTAAATCTTGAATAAATATACATAGAAATACGAAGTTTCTACAATTCTTGACCTAAGCATTTATTTGCCTGGAAATAAACTAAATTTTCATTTGGATTTGGATTTGAAACCAGGGCAATTTATCATACTTCTTAGTACTAGGCCTTCTCCTAAAAGCATTCTATCAACATTATTAAACCAACAATTGGTCATACAAATCAGTGGTATTATACTATATTAAGTACAACTTTACCTCCAGGCAGTCATTGAAGAGGAAGAGAGTTACTTGTTCTCCTCTGTCACAGGGGTGCTCACCTAGAGAAATGGTTTCAACTCGTTGGACTAAGCTTCGGTGAGACGATAAAAGATTAGCCTGTAGCAATTGAAAATATTAATAGAAGAGATCACTTGGTAGCAAGCAATTTTTTAAAAGTGATAATTTTTTTAATAAGTGGTCCCAAGATTCTGTTCATATTAAAACTGTAGAATCTAAACAAGAAAGAGAAAATAAACTGACAATCATCAAAAATGACCACTTACTGGGCATCCATCTACTTCATAAACAACATCAAAGATTTGCTTTTGAGCTTCAGTTTTTCTCTTATCTTCATTAATATGCCTGAAAAATTAGTAAAGTTATCTTTAAAAAACAACAGAATATGAAAACTGCATACAAATACATCTCCTGTCACTATGACGTTCTTCCATGTGAGTCTATTTTAATTTTGATAGGTGAATCAGTTAAAATAGTGCCCTAGAAGTATCCCACGACATTAGAAAAAAGTTCCATAGATCCTTCAGAAAAGTATGTGTAACTATACTCCTTACTACATTCTTTTTTTCAAATCATTATACACTTCCTAAAATACATTAAACCAGTACAAACTTCAAGGGAACAGAAGTTCTAACTATAAGTTCAGTTAAGGTTTTATGCAAGTCAGTTGCTAATCATTTCACTGAAACAAAAACTAAGGCTACTGCTTCCAGATAGGGTGGAATAAGAACGAAAGGATATACCCTTCTGCCAGAAACAATTAAAAAATTATCAAAATATAACAGAAACAAGGGTTCCCAAGACACTGAAAGTTAATTCCTATGAGACAGGAAACAAGGCAAGCCAACTATAGTCGATTATACTGTCTATAGGAGACACACTTTGGATTCAAAGACATAAATAGGCTGAAAGTAAAATGATGGTACTACTCCACCCAAGAACAGCAAAACTCACATTCTTCTCAAGTCTACGTGGAACATTCTCCAGATTAGGCCATAACATGCCTTAGAAAGTTTGATTGAAAGACTGAAATAATACAAAGTATATTCTCCAACCACAATGCAGTGAAATTAAAATTAATAACAAAAGGAAACTTCTGGAAATTCACAAATAAGTGGGAATTAAACAAAACACTCCTAAATAACCAACAGGTCAAGAAGAAATCACAAGGGAAATTAGAAAATACTTTGAGATAAATAAAAACAAAAACACAACATGCCAAAATGTATGGGATACAACTAACTAAAACAGTGCTTAAAGAGAATTTATAGCTATAAATGCACATAATAAAAAACAGTAATTTCAAATCAATAACCTAACCTTCCACTTTAAAACTCTGGGGGAAAAAAGAGCAAACTAAATCTAAAGCAAGCAGAAAGAAGAAAATCATAAAGATTAGAGTAGAAATTAATGAAATAGTGAATACAAAAATAAAAAAATCAATAAAACTAAAAGTTGGTTCTTTGAAAAGAACAACAAATTGACAAACTTTAGTTAGGCTGACCAAGAAAAAAAAAAAAAGGACTCAAATTACTAAAATCAGGAATAAAATATGAGACATCACTACCTTACAGATATAAAAAGGATTATAAGAAAACACTATGAACAACTGTATGCCAACAAATTAGATAGCTTAGATGTAATGGACAAACTCCTAGAAAGACACAAACCATAGAAACTAACTCAAGAAGAAACAAAATCTGAATAGATCTATAACAAGTTCAATTAGTAATTTTAAAACTTCTTACAATAAAAAGCCCAGGCCCAAATGGCTTCACTGAGTAATTCTACCAAACACTTGATGAATTCATAAGAATTCTTCATAAATTCTTCCAGAAAAATAGAAGAGGAAGAAACACTTCCCAACTTCTCCTGTGAAACCAGTATTAGCCTGAGACCAACGCCAAAGACATCACAAGAAAACTATAGAGCAACATCCCTTATGAATGAATATAAACACCAAAATCCTCAACAAAATGCTAGCAAACCGAATCCAGCAACGCATGAAAAGGATTATACACCATGACCAAGTGAGATTTTATCACAGGAACACAAGTTGGAGTTAACATGTAATTATCAGTATAATACGCCATATCAACAGAATAAAGGACAAAAACCACACGACCACCTCAGCAGATGCTGAAAAACTGTTTGACAAAATCCAATGTCCTTTCGTGACAGAAACATTCAACAAACTGGAATAAATGAGGACTTCCTCAACCTAACAAAGAGAATCTACAAAAATCCCACAGCTACCATCATACTTACTAGTGAAAGACTGAATGCTTTTCCTCTAAAATCAACAAGACAAGGGACAAGATGTTTGTTCTCCTCACTTCTGTTTAACATTGTTCTGGAGTTGCTGGCCAGGGCAATTAGGCAAGAAAATTAAACAAAAGGCATCCAGATTGGGAAAGAAGTAAAACTACGTCTATTTGCAGATTACATAATCTTGTTTATAGAAAATTCTAAGGAATCCACTAAAAAGATAATAAAACTGAAAGAAGTTCAGCAAGGCTGCAAAGCACAAGATCAATATACAATACACTAGAGTGAACAATACAAAAATGAAATTAAGAAAACAATTCCATTTACTACAGCATCAAAAAGAATAAAATACTCAGGAATAAGTTTAACAAAAGAAGTGCAAAACTTATATTCTGAAAACTACAAAACTGAGTTCAAAGAAATTAAAGAACGAAATGGAAATAAATGTTCACAGATCAGAAACTCAATATTGTTAAGATGAAAATACTCCCCAAATTGAAATATAGATCCAACAAAATCTCTATTAAATTTCCCACTGTTCTCCTCCCCCAAAACTGACAAGCTGATTCTAAAAGCTACATACAAATTCAAGAGACCCGGAATAGTCAAAACAATCTTGAAAATAAAGAACAAAGTCAGAGGACTCACAATTCCCAATTTAAAACTTAATATACAAAGCACAGTAATCAAGACTGTGTAGTACTAGCATAATCATAAACACAGAGATCAATGAGATAGAATTGATAGTCCAGAAATAAACCCTCACATTTATGGTCAACTGATTTTTCAATAAAGGTGCAAAAGCTTCAGTGGAAAAAGAATGGTCTTTTGAACACACAGTGTTGGAACAGATTTCCATATTAAAAAAAATATATCAACCCACACCTCACCCTTTATACAAAAATTAACTCAAAATGGATCACAGACCTAAATGATTTTTACCTAATGACTAAAGTTACAAAGCTTCTTGAAGAAAACAGGAGAAAATCTTTGTGACCTTGGGCTAGACCAAGATTTCTTAGATAAAATCATAAAAGTATCATTCATAAAAAAAAATTGATAAACTGAATTACATAAAAATCTAAAACTCCTGTTTTTTGAAAGAAACTGTTAAAAGAAAAAACACAACACAGACTATGTGAAAATATCTGCAAATCACATATCTGACAAGTCTTTTAACCAGAATATATAAAGAATTCTCAAAACTACAAAGAAAATAACCCAAATTAAAAAAAAGTAGACAAAAGATTTGAACATACAATCACCAAAGAATATGGATAGTAAACAAGCACAAGGAAAAATGCTCAATATCATCTGTCATAAGGGAAAATGCAAGTCAAAACTACGAGATTTCACTACACATCTATTAAAATTTCACAAATTAAAATGACTGACCATAGTGAGAGCTGATAAGGACAAGGAGCCACTGGTACTCACCACACACTGTTGGTGGGAATATAAAACAGTACAACTGCTTTGGAAACAGTTTGGCAGTATTTTTCAAAGTTATACACACATCTACTGTATGACCTAGCCATTCCTACTCCTACATATTTACCCAAGAGAAATGAAAGTATATGACCATACTAAGACTTGTTCACGAATGTTCATAGCAGCTTTATTTGTAATAGCTAGAAACTAGAAACAATCAAAATGTCCACCAACACACAAATGGATAAATTGTGGTATATCCATATAATGGAAAACAATAAAAGGGAATGAACTATTGATACAAGCAACAATAAGGACTAATCTCAAAATAATCATGCTGAGTAAAAAAAGTCTGACCAAAGATAGTATACTGTCTGATTCCATTTAGATAAAATCCCAGAAAATGCAAATTATAGAGATGAAAAGAAGAGCAACTGTTGCCTTGGGATGGGCAGGTGGGACAGGGAGAGGCAAGAAAAGGGACTACCAAAGGGGATGAGTAAACTTTCGGAGTTGACGGAAATGCTCACGGAAATGTTCCTTATCTTGATGGTGGTGATGGTTTCACGGGAGTACATGCATGCCAAAATTAAACTACATTTCACACATGTATAGTTAATTTAAAAAATAAATATTTAAACTACTACAGCATATATCTATGGCAAATTAATGTTTATAAGTTAAGTCATGTGTAACTAATATCATTAGAATCCAATTTTAGGTTTTTATGGTTTGCTTAAATGGCAAGCACTAGTTAGGTGGTGGTCATTATTTCCTTTACCTGAGGTATTATGGTTATTTCAATCAACCACAAGCCTTTAATCCATAGGCTAAACATTCAAGAATCTCAAGAATTCAGATGTGGTCAAATTCTATAAAGTTTATAAATCAGCATCACAATTCAACATAACAAATAGCATAAACTACCATCAAAATAATATCGGCAGAGTTTCTACACACTAAACAGGTAAACTGGGCAGGTAATAACCTCTTAGCTTTTCTCTTTTGTGAAGATATGCTAACACTGACTGCCTACTTCATAGAATTTGCTGAAAGAATCACGGTAGTATGTGTGTCAGAATATGTTAAACTATCAAGTGTTGAAAAATAACTATTACCCTGGCTTGAAAACAAATCAAAAGCACGAAGTTTGGCTGATGAACATATAAAATATGAACATAAGCAAAAAACAAAAAATGTATAACCCTTTCAGCAGCAACAAAAGCTGGTATTCCCTAATTTGAGCATTATTCTACTGCTGAACCCTCTCTGTAGAGCTAGGAAACCTTCTCCCTAAGAGCTCTTTCGCAAGTATGTTAAGAAACTATTTCACACAGAAGCTCCCCATGGAATCTCAGAAATCACCTAATTCTATCTATTAAACATGTTGATATGTAAAGTCCAAAGAGCTGAAGTGCCCTCACCCTCCATGAGGCCAGAGTTTTCAATTCTGATCATAATAATAGGCATGAAAGATGATTTCTGATCAGAGCTGTCTCCAAATTAGACCTACAGCAAGTAACCAAAGTTAACAATCAAGCTCCCCAAGTCAATTTCATCACATTTATACTTTAAATACATCTCCAACCAACCTCATCAATTTAATTATATAAAACTCAAGGATATGAAACAAAAAGTAAAAATACAAGTATTATAAGTCTTTTCTTTTTATTCCATCATGGTCAAATTCCTGAGTTACATTTGGGCAGTTTATAGAAAGATAAAAACAAGCTATGACTGGAGGTATATGAAGAAAATGTCTATTAGTGAATTTATAACATATTCAAATTTGTACACCATTGTTCCTTCCATGCATAATAGCTTAACACCTTCAGAATGTGTTCTTGATTAACCAATGTATTCTTACAATACTTCTCTCATCATTTTAATGTGTAACTACACTATTAGAGAAATAATATATATAATATTTTACAAAAATTTGTTACTGATATTTTTCTCTCCATTTAAGACTCTAATTTTTCTATTAATTCCACTCTAAATCTAAGAACAAAAAAAGTTTAAATAATGCACTTACGTCATTACTTCCTTTAGTGATCCAATAGCTTTTTCTAGAGTGCTTTTGTCAGGATTTTCTTCAGCTGTATGCTTCTTGAGATCTGTCATGATAAAATGTTTGCTCCACAATTAAAAGAAGTTCAGTGGTTTTCCATCTAAGACTTAAAAATGCTATCCATTATGATAGAAATAGGTTGATTAATTTTTAAAGGTATATCTAACCCTTACTTTAAAAAATGTTTTATGCAATGTTGCTTTAAGAGCTTCCTTCTTACACCTTTAAGGTTTCTACATTTTTTTATTGACCAAATTTTCAGAATATGTAACACATCTTCTTACACTGCTATCTCAATTCCCTTCTAGTAAAGCTTGGGGACTCCTAGATTCCTCAAACTCTCTCCACAGTGCTGAATGAAAACACACAATCTTCAATTAGCTGAGAGATCATTATACGTGTTATATTTCATATTGGGGCCCATGGCTCCATCACAGAGAGCATTTGGTATCCTTAATGGCAGGTCTGTTTAGTTTACAGGTTCATGAGATGCTTACTCTTTTACTCTTCTTAACCAAGTTGTTTATGCTATGTTCCACCTAATGGTTCCCTAGCAGCATGCCCACCTAATCTTTTAAGTGGGGTGACAGGAAAAAGGCTTAGAAATCACATTCATTTTAGTCATGACAACATTTGAGGGATTTCAACAAGTACTTAATGAAACAATAATGAAGATAAGTAAATAAGCAAAAAATATACTGCTCTATAAAGTTTACCATTTGCTTGCTCATATAATCTCCTTACAATCTATAAAATGGGATAGCTTTTAAAGACTGAGAAATCATTTTATAAGGTAATAATTGTAAATTCTATTAGATAACCTTAAAGAGAACAAAAATTATCAAATTTTTTAGTTACCACTACAATTCATATGTTAACCAAAAGATTTTAAAGAAAAAATAGATTAAATAGTCAAAAAGTTAGCCTTCTCATCTGCTATACATACTACTGTAGTTAAGATTTGGGGATCAAAAAGCTTTATTACACACTTATTCCTGTTTGGCAGTTTTTTTATTATTTCTTAAATTTAAGTATGAAAACTAAACTAGAATTTTATAAAAATATTCACTACTTTAGTCAACTAAATGTAAAAGCATATACATGCCTTTCTTTTACTGCAGGCAAAATTTATTCATAAAAATTTACTTTCTGCTGTAAAATTTCCTTCCATTGATACCTGCAGTTTAAATTCTAGAATAAATGGCTGTATGTTTCAAGAGTGCTCTGTACAATCTAAGGGGAAAAAAAGTAAGCAGAAGAATAAGTATATAGAACTTTACTAAGATTCAGAAAAGGACCAAACAATTTGAAACATGTCATCTCTCATCTTGTGATTTTGTGGATGAATTGTGTATTTACGTGGATGTAAATTGATTTTGAATTAGTGACACACCACAAAATGTAAGAAGACTTAGCGGAAGAAAAAGCATAACACGAGTCAATATAATTGATATCAGAACAATTAAAGCATTTTAGGCCAGACTGAATTTTTATAGCATCAGTGATTATTAAGATTATCCATAAAGATATATTCTATGTAAAAGATATAAACTTTAATGGTGAAATCTAAGAAAACTATGAAAGTGAGAAGAATTTCAATTTTTTAGAACAAAACAATTCCATAAAAACATCCAAAATAGTCTGAAAACAGATCAGACAAGTACCATTTAAAAGTAATGCAACACTGGGTAACCTCTGTACTGGTCTGATGAGAAGTTCGACAAGGCTCTGCCGTCCACATTCTGGTTTAGCTTGGTTTATCTGAAAGAAATTAATTTATTCAACAATAAAAAAAGGTCTTCTGCAAAGATTCACACCCTACATTTATTAGACTACACTTCATCTTTAGTGCCCTAGGATAAGAACTAAGGGGGGTGGTAGGGTGGGAGTTGTTCTCTGGCATATTACTGGGGTTGAATAATCTTCCAGGCCCTGAAGTGACCTCCTGGCCAGCCCAAAGGTTAACATTTTAACGGAAAGTGAGTTCCTGTACATACTCGCAAATATTCCACCTTAAGTTTCTCTTAAGTCTACAGCATTCAGAAGAAAAAAACAGTTTTAAAATACTAACTATGCTGATACCAGTGGATAAACAAAGTAAGGCACTGGTAAGAGAAAAAATCATTAAAAGGAAAACAAAATGTCACTGGAAAAGTTTTAGGTGTTTAAGAACTAAAACATGTATAACTTTTTTAAAAAAAAATAAATAACCACATTAAGTTTTGCATGCTCTGCTTCGGTAGCCCAGGGTCAGTTCCTGGGGATGGACCTACACCACTTGTGGCAGCCATGCTGTGGCAGTGACCCACATATAAAATAGAGGAAAACTGGCACAGATGTTAGCTCAGGGAGAATCTTCCTCAAGCAAAAAGAGGAAGATTGGCAGATGTTAGCTCAGGGTGAATCTTCTTCAGCAAAAACAAACAAACAAAAGAAACCCACATAGAACATTCTCATTCACTCAGCTGCCTTTTGGACCCTGCTACCTAGTATGTGAAATCTTCTGAAGCTAAATATCACTGCCACTCTCAGGTACAGCTAAAGTTAATAAATAACATTAAGGAGTTGTTATATGGATACATTTTGACCAAAAGTATAATTTTAATAAACTCCTTCAGAAATTATTCTTAGGTTTTAGGGGCTGGCCTGGTGGCGCAGCAGTTAAGTGTGCATGTTCCACTTCGGTGGCCTGGGATTCGCCAGTTCAGATCCCGGGTGCGAATCTGGCACTGCTTGGCAAGCCATGCTGTGGTGGGCATCCCACATATAAAGTGGAGGAAGATGGGCATGGAAGTTAGCTCAGGGCCAGTCTTCCTCAGCAAAAAGAGGAGGCTTGGCAGCAGATGTTAGCTCAGGGCTAATCTTCCTCAAAAAAAAAAAGAAGAAGAAAAGGAATTATTCTCAGGTTTTAATCTGAAAGAAAAGTGAATTACCTTCAGAAAAGCATGAAATCTTGGTTTCTGTTTTTCACATTTAATAATTGTTTCCTTGCTCATTTCAAAGAAGTTTACAAAGGGAGGATAGGTTTTTACCAAATCTTTTGACTAGGAAAACAAAAGAAAAAAAAAAGCCAAAACAGTAATTTGTAATGCATGTCACCCTTAGACAATAAAACTTAAACTCAATCAATCAATACTCACAATCTGACATACTGAAAAGAAAAGTTTAAAGTAAGTTTCTTCTCAAGTTAAATACAGAAATTTATTTTATAAACTTCTCACTAATGAGTGAGTTGTGAAACAAAATGCATCAATTGGTACAGACAGCATAAAACCTGAAAAGCAAATAAAGACCCAGAAAGAAACAAAAGTATACTGCGGCTTACTGTATTGATATAAACATGACAAAGTTTAAAATTTTCTGTAAGTTCAGAATACAGTAATTAGAGTTGATTTATGCAGAACCCAAAAACATACTACTATTTATTGAAGGATCCAAACCACCATTAAAAGATCAATTATATTACTCAAAAGTACAAACAAAAAAAGGAAAAATATCTTGGGTAATAGTGGAGAATAATAGGTATCAAAAAGATACGTGACAATAATCTGCATATTTGCAATTTTCAACAAACCAGAAAACACCTAAGAGACTATATGGTAAGAACGGAATTTAGGAGGAAGCCTCAGAGAACAAAAGTGCCAGAACCCAAGGCACTGGAATTTATACATAGTATTCAAAGAGACTGAAAGAAATTTATAAATTCTATTCACAGCACTTCATTTAAAATGAATTTACAGAGGTGGTGTCAAGATGGCAGCGTCAGCTGACTCTGAACTCACCTCCTCCCATGGACACAATGAATTTACAACTACTCTTGGAACAATCACCCGTGAGAGAGAACTGAAAACTGGATAAAAAGAATCCCCACAATAAGGGATAGTGCTGACTGAGGTGAAGAGGCAGAAATTCCTTGCTGGAGAGAAAAAAGCCACCTTTGAGCCACAACATTTCACAGGCAGCCCAGAGCAATCCTAAGATACAAAGTCCTCCCTGGAGGAGTGGGGGACTTGAGCAAGAAACACTACCACAATCAGCAGCTTTTGGACTCAGCACAACCAAGACAAGTGTCATAATACCTGGCTTTGCTGGCTATTAACTACAATGAGGAATATTCCCAGAAAAGCTATTGGACACAAGGAAAAAAACAGCAGGCTCTTAAAGGGCCCAAGCACAAATTCAACTCTTTCAGAAAGCAACCTAAAATCACCAGAAAGAAAGGTGCACAGTCCTTTGGTGAAAAGAGACTCACCTGATAGGCTCTGCATGCATCTCACTGAGAGGTGAGACCTCTCCAGGGACTGAGACATTGGCGGCAGCCATTACTGTGACCTAGTGCAGGCATGCTGACACAGATGCTGGAAGACGTCAGTGGAGTTCTTCCTCTGGCCTGTTAGCCCAGGGTCTGCTCCACCCACTAGAGCACCAATTTAATCCAGCTCAGCCAGGGAAGGCAACCCACACTCTACCCAAAAGCCACCTCTTGGGCAACTTGTGGACCCACATGGGCAGGGTGCCTGGAACCTCTGTAACCAGGCAAGTGGGTCCACTTCAGGGGGCAGGGTTTGAATGAGGGAAGGACCTGCAGTGGTGGAGTGAGCAGAGCCTCTGCAGTGGGGTGACTGGGTACACTTCAGTGGGTCAAGGCACTCAAACAGGGCAGGATTGTGTTGATGGGGTGTGTGGCCCCGGGGCAGTGGGGCTTGTCAGCTGCAGCAGACTTGTGCTTCTCAAAAGCCACATAGGGGAGATGCCTCACATTCCAAAGCCTGAAACAACTGGGTGCTCCCATACCTGGGGGCGGCCCAACTAGGCTGCAATCCTGAGAGAGCTGACAACAGTTTTGCAGGCTGGATGTCCACAGCAATTATAAGCCTCTGTGCCTAGCAACCAGCCACACTGGGGGCCTACTCAGTAAAAAGAAAAACTGCAACAGCTATTACACTTTGTAGCCAACTGTTCTGGGACTTCCCATACTCAATAAAGTGACTGAAGGGACCATAATAGCCACATGCAGCTGAGCATTACAACGAGCTGGCCAAGGGGGCAGCCTAGCCTCCCTGGGCAACTGCAACAAGAGCAACCCTGTCATAACAGAAGGACACACGAAGGCCACACAGGGCACACTCCTGGAACATTTGGAACTCGTGACGAGAGGGAAGCACACTGCTGGGCCTCATAAAGCATCTCTTACATTAGGCCACTTCTCCAAGATTGGAAGATGTAACTGACCTATCTAATATACAGATATAAGCACAGACAAAGAGGCAAGATGAGGAGGCAAAGGAATACGCGCCAAGTAAGGGAACAGGAAAAACCTCAGGAAAAGAACTAAACAAAAAAGAAATAAACAACCTACCTGACAAAGAGTTAAAACAAATACTCATAAGGATGCTCACTGATATTGGGAGAAGAACGGATGAACTCAGTGAGAACTTCAACAAAGAATTAGAAAATATAAAAAAGAACCCATCACAAATGAATACGATACCAGAAATGTAAAATTCACTAGAGGGACTCAATAGCAGAATAGATGATACAGAAGAACCGATCAGTGAGCTGGACAACAGACTAGAGGAATACACCCAAGCTGAACGGATAAAAGAAAAAAGAATTAAAAAGAATGAGAACAGTCTAAGGGACCTCTGGGACAAAATTAAGCACACTAACATTCATATTATAGGTCTTCCAGAAAGAGAAGAGAGAGACAAAGGGGCAGAGATCTGCTTAAAGAAATCATAGCTAAAAACTTTCCTAACCTAAGGAAGGACACAGACATCCAGGTACAGGAAGCAAAGACAGCACCAAATAAGATAAACCCAAAGAGGCCCACACCAAGATATATCATAATTAAAATGTCCAAAATTAAAGATAAAGAATCCTAAAAGATGCAAGAGAAAGGCAACAAATTACATACAAGGGAAAGCCCATAAGGCTATCAGCTGACTTCTCAGCAGAAACCTTACAGGTGAAGGGAGTAACACAATATATTTAAAGAGCTGAAAGGAAAAAACCTTCAGCCAAGAATACTCTACTCAGCAAGATTATCATTCAGAATGGAAGGAGAGAGAAAGAGTTTACCAGACAAGCAAAAACTAAAGGAGTTTATCACCAAGAAACCAGCCTTACAAGATATGCTAAAGAGACTTATTTAAGAGGAAAAGAGAAGACCACAAACAGGAATATGAAAATTATCACACACACACAAAAAAAGCAATAAAATCACTGGTAAAGGCAAATACACAATAAAGACAGCAAATCAATCACCTAAGAAGGTCAAAAGACAAAAGTACTAAAATTATCTATTTCCATGATAAGAGGGTAATGGATACACATGCACAAAAAAAGAGGTCAGATATATCATCAAAACATAAAATGAGGGAGAAGGGAAGTAAAAGAGCAGAGCTTTCAGGAAGAGGTCAACTAAAGAGACCATCAACTTAACATAGATTACTATACATGTAGGTTATTATATACGAATCTCACGATAATCACAAACCAGAAAGCAATAATACACAAAACAACAAGAGAAAGGAACCAAACATACTACTAAAGAAAGCCATCAAACCACAAGGGAAGAGAAAGAGAAGAAAGGAATAGAGAAGAACTACTAAAACACACAGGAAAAAAGTTAACAAAATGGCAATACGTATATTCTTATCAATAGCTGCTTTAAACGTAAATGCACTAAATGCTCCAATCAAAAGGCAGAAGGTGGCCAATTGGATAAAAAAATAAGATCCATAAATATGCTGCATTAACCCACACACTAGAGACCTAAAGATATAAACTGAAAGCAAATGGATAGAAAAAGATACTCTATGCAAATGGTAATGATCAGAAAGCTGGGGTACTAATACTTATATCACACAAGATAGATTTTAAAAACTGTAACAAGAGACAAAGAAGGGTACTAAATAGTGATAAAGGCAACAATCCAATAAGAGGATAACACTTGAAAATACCTATGCACCCAACATAGGAACACCTAAATATATAAAGCAATTATTAACAAACATAAAAGGAGAAAGAGACAGAAACACAATAATAGTAGGGGACTATAACACTCCACTTATACCAATGGACAGAGCATCCAAACAGAACATCAATAAGGAAACACTGGCCTTAAATGACACATTGGACCAGATGGACTTAGTAGATATCATATAGAACATTCCATCCAAAAACTGCAGAATACACATTCCTTTCAAATGCACATGGAACATTCTCCAGGACTGATCACATATTAGGTCGTAAAACAAGTCTCAATAAATTTAAGAAGACTGAAACAATATCAAGCGTCTTTTCTGAGGACAATGGTATCAAACAGAAATCAACTACAGGAAGAAAAGCCACAAATATGTGGAGATTAAACAAAATACTACTGAATAGCCATTGGGTCAAAGGAGAAATCAAAACATACCCTGAGACAAGTGAAAATGAAAATACAACATGCCAAAACTTATGGGATACAGTAAAAGTGGTTCTAAGAGAGAAGGTTACAGCAATACAGACCTACCTCAATCAACAAGAAAAATCTCAACTAAACAATCTAACAGTACACCTAAAGGAACTGGAAAAAGAAGAACAAACAGCCCAAAATCAGCAGAAGGAAGGAAATAATAAAAATCAGAGCAAAAATACATGAAATAGAGGACTAAAAAAAACAATAGAAAAAAAGAAAATCAATGAAACCAAGAGCTGGTTCTTTGAAAAGATAAACAAAATTGACAAACCTTTATCTAGACTCACTGAGAAAAAAAGAAAAGGCTCAACTAAATACAATCAGAAATAAAACAGGAGAAATTACAATGGACACCTCCGAAATACAAAAGATAAGATACATTAGGAAAAGCTATATACCACAAATTGGATAATCTAGAAGGAATGGATAAATTCTTAAAATCAAACAAACTTCCAAAACTGAATCAAGAAGACAATTTGCACAGACCAATCATGAGTAAGGAGATCAAAAAGGTAATCAAAAACCTCCCAGAAAATAAAAGTCCCAGTCCAGACGGCTTCCCTGGTGAATTCTGCAAAACATTCAAAGACGACTTTATAACTATCCTTCTCGAACTCTTCCAAAAAATTGAAGAGGAAGGGAAGTTTCCTAACTCATTCTATGAAGCCAACATCACCCTGATACCAAAAGCAGACAAAGACAACACAAAAAAAGAAAATTACAGGTCAATATCACTCATGAACATCAACGTAAAAGTCCTCAACAAAATACTAGCAAATCGAATACAAAAATACATTAAAAAGATCATACACCATGATGAAGTGGGATTTATTCAAGGGATGCAGGGATGGTTCACCATCCGCAAATCTACCAACATGATACACCACATTAACAAAATAAAGAATAAAAATCACATGATCATCTCAACAGATGCAGAGAAAGCATTTGACAAGATACAGCATCCATTTATGATAAAAACTGAATATAATGGGTATAGAAGGAAAGTACCTCAACATAATAAAGGCCATATATGACAAACCCACAGTTAACATCATTCTGAATGGAGAAAAACTGAAAGCTATCCCTCTGAGAACACGAACCAGACAAGGATATCAACTTGCAACACTCTCATTTAACATAGTATTGGAAATCATAGCCAGAGCAATCAGGCAAGAAAAATAAAAGGGATACAGATTGGAAAGGAAGAAGTGAAACTTTCACTATTTGCAGATGATATGACTTTATAGATAGAAAACCCTAAAGAATCCACCAAAAAGCTTTTAGAAATAATAAATGAATATGGTCAAGTTGCAGGACACAAAATTACCATATAAAAATCAGTTGCATTTCTACACAGTAACAATGAAGTTAAGAGGAAGAGAAATTAAGCATACAATCCCATTTACAATTGCAACAAAAAGAATAAAATATCTAGGAATAAACTTAACCAAAGAGGTGAAAGACCTGTACACTGAAAACTACAAAACTTTTTTGAAAGAAACAGAAGACACAGAGAAATGGAAAGATATTCCAGGCTCTTGAATTGGAAGAATTAACATAGTTAAAATGTCCATACTCCTTAAAGCAATCTACACATTCAATGCAATCCCTATCAACGTTCCCAGGACATTTTCTACAGAACTAGAACAAAGAATCCTAAAATTTATATGGAACAACAAAATAGCCAAAGGAATCTTGAGAGAAAAGAAGAAAGCTGGAGGTATCACACACCTTGACTTCAAAATACCACCAAGCTATAGTAATCAAAACAGCATGGTACTAACACAAAAACAGACACACAGATCAATGGAACAGAATCGAGATCCCAGAAATAAACCCACACATCTATGGACAGCTACTTTTCAAAAGAGAGCCAAGACAACACAATGAAGAAAGGAAAGTGTGTTCACTAATGGTACTGGGAAAACTGGACAGCCACATGCAAAAGAATCAAAGTAGACCATTATCTTACACCACACACAAAAATTAACTCAAAATGGATTAAAGACTTCAATGTAAGACCTGAAACCATGAAACTTCTAGAAGAAAACATAGGCAGTACACTCTTCAACATCGGTCTGAGCAGTTTATTTTCAAGTACCATGTCTGACCAGGCAAGTGAAACAATAGAAAAAATAAACAAATGGGACTACATCAACTAAAAAGCTGCACAGCAAAGGAAACCATCAACAAAACAAAAAGACAACCTAACAATTGGGAGAAGATATTTGCAAACTATTTATCTGACAAGAGGTTAATACCCAAAATATATAAAGAACTCATACATCTCAACAACAAAAAAATTAACTATCCAATTGACAAATGGGCAAAAGATCTGAACAGGCATTTCTCCAAAGAAGATATACAGATGGGCAGTAGGCACATGAAAAGATGTTCAACATCACTAATTATCAAGGAAATGCAAATCAAAATTACAATGAGATATCACCTCATGCCTGTCAGGATGGCTATAATTAACATAACAGGAAATAATAAACATCAGAGAGGATGTGGAGAAGAGGGACATACACTATAGTTGGGAGTACAAACTGGTGTAGCCACTACGGAAAACAGTATGGAGATTCCTAAAAATACTAAGAATGGCTATTAATTAATTAAATTAAATTAATATATTATTAAAATATTAAATTAAGTAATATTTATTTAATTAATTAATTAAATATTAAGAATCCAGCTATTCCACTGCTGGGTACTTATGCAAAGAACATGAAAACATGAATATGTAAAGATACATGCACCCCTGTGTTCACTGCAGCATTATTCACAAGGGCCCACCTAGATGCCCATCAAGGGATAAAAGGATAAAGAAAATGTCATATATATACACAATGGAATATTACACTGCCGTAACAAAGAATGAAATCTGGCCATTTGTGATGACATGGATAGACCTTGAAAGTTATTATGCTAAGCGAAGTAAGTCAGAGGGAGAAAGTCAAATATACCATATGATCTCACTCATAAATAGAAGATTAAAAACAACAACAAATTGTGTGTATTTACACAGAGACAGAGATTGGATTGGTGGTTACCAGAGGGGAATGGGGGAGGCAGGAGGGTGAATGGGATGATTAGGCACTTGTGTGTGTGTGTGTGGTGATGGATTGTAATTAGTTTTTGGGTGGTGAATATGATATAATCTAGACAGAAATCAAAATATAATGACATACACCCAAAATGTACAGAATGTTATAAACCAATATTACCACAATAAAAATAAAACAAAATGTATTTACTTTATTTAATAAACTTAAGTGGTTCTTATCCTAAAGAAGGAGTTCACTAGAAGGTTTTATACAGAGCAGACATATGACAGCAAAAACTGCTATCAACTAAAGAAAGAGAAAAATAAAAACTCAATTATAGAAAATTTCCAAAAAAATCATTAATCTGTGGCCATTAATAAGGGAAAATAACTTGATATGTAGTAAAACAACTAAAGTTTGACAATTACTGCTCCTACTGCTGACCTTGAGCTATCAAGAAAGTGTTAAATTGTATACAGAAAGTATGTTTCAGAAGACAAAAAAACTTAATATATTTTACAAAAATAACTATGTCAAAGTTTTTAAAGCTCTCACATTTAAACAGGTTACTTTCACTCCCTTCAGTCCTTGATTAGATGATACTTTAATCTGAAAACTTAAAAAAGAAATAAAATACTTACATATTTAAGAAAGATGTCACCGATGCTTTTGCTCTCATCCCAATTAACAATAAGGTCTTCAAGATCATCCTGAAAGAGCACAAATCATTTAAAATTTAAAATTGAACTTGACAATTTAAAATCTTTTAATATTTTTAAGATATTCACTTGAAAGCACTTTAGAAAGTGTCTTAAACTTGATATTCAAAACAATTAATAATACATTCTTCCTCCTCAACAAGGAATTAACTCTTTGTGAAGAAAATATCCTTTTAAAAATGATTTTAAGAAAATATAAAGAGTGTCAAAGTCACTAAGACTAACTTCCCAATATGATGTGATAGTTCAATGTCTTTTCTAGTTAACTATGAAGGTGATTGGTGTTATTTATTATAAAAAACTACTTTCAATCCTGCTGCTGAACCATCTTATTTAACATCAGCCATTGGAAACTGTAATTTATAATAGAGATCAGCAAACTTAAAGGGCCAGATGGTAAATACTTTAAGGCTTGCAAGACATATGGTTTCTGTCACAAATACTCAACTCTGTCCTTGTAGAGTGGAAACAGCCATAGACAATCCACAAACAATTGAGTGTGGCTGTGTTTCAATAAAGCCTTGTTTAGCAAAACTTTACCAAAATCCAAAACTGGTTAGATTTGGTCCATCGACCACAGTATGCTAATCCCTTGTCTATAAGACTTATCAATCATCATTCAAAAATACTACATATTTGTAAAATTTTAGAAAACCTTTAAAAGCTCTGTAGGATAATAAAACACAAATCAGATGATAAAATGAGATGCCAAGAAATGACACGCCTTAATCGAAATTCTAAAAGTGACTTTAAAGTAGAAATTAATCAACAAGCTCTTATACCAGAGGTTCTTGAAGTATCATCCACAGACCCTCCAGCACAACCTTTTAGTAGGAGCCATGAGATTAAACTATTTACAATACTAAGGCATTATTTGATTTTTTAACTCTAATTCTCTCACAAGTATACAATAGAGTTTTCTAGAGACTATGTGATATGGCAACAGACTGAATTAAGCAGCAGATATGAGAAAGAATCTTCTATTAAGCCAGGCAGAAAAAATACAAAATGACATCACTCTTCTCACTATTTCTGTTTTTGGAAATTAGTTGTTTTTCATAAAGAATATATTATTTATGCTACCATGTATGTAATGAGTTATGAGGACTTTAAATGTATTAATAAAAATTGTTTTAATTGGATATCCACCAAATAATTACCAAAAAATTAACTCAAAATAGATTATATACCTAACTGTAAAAGCTAAAACAATACAACTTTTAGAACAAAACACAGGAGAAAATCCTCAAAACTTTGAGTTAGGCAAAAATTTCTACATGACTCCAAAAGCAGGGTACATAAAAGAAAAAAATGCATAACTGGACTTCATCAAAATTTAAAACTTTTGTACTTCAAAAGACACCATTAAAAAAATAAAGACAAGCTACAACAGACTCAAAGAAAATATTTGCAAAACACACAGCTGATAAAGGACTTGAATCCAGAATTTATAGAGAACACTTACAACTCAATAAGACAAACAACCCAATCAAAAAATGGACAACAGATCTAAGCACACATCCACCAAAGATAATGCACAAATGGCTAATAAGCAGGTGAAAAGATGCTCAATATAATTAATCATTAGGGAAATGCAAATCAAAACCACCAAGAGATGCCACTTCACATCCTAGAATGGCTATTTAAAAAAAAAAAAAAAAGTATTGGTGAGAATGTGGACTAATGTGAACCCTCATACATTACTCTAAGAATGTAAAATGATGTAAAAGCCTGGCAGTTTCTCAAAAATTTCAAATATAAGACTACCCACCAAATATAAGATGATCCACCAATTCTACTGGTAAGTATCTACTAAACAGAAATGAAACCATGCCCACACAAAGACATGCACACAATGATCATAGCAGCATTATTCATAATGGCCAAAAACTTGAACAACTTAAATTTCCATCAGTTGATGAATGAATGAAGAAATATGACATAGCCATATAATGGACTATTATCTGGCCACACAAAGGAATAAACCACTAACAGGCTACATCACACATGAAATTCAAAAATATGCTAAGTGAAAGAAGCCATATGTAAGACACCATATACTGTATATTTGCATTTATGTAAAATGTCCAGAAACTGCAAATTCATAGAGACAGAAAGCAGATTAGTGGTAGCCTAGAACTGGGGCTAGGCATGGGGATTAACTACAAATGGGTGTGGAAGATCTTACAGGGGGAGTAGAAAATGTTCTAAAATGGATTTATGGAGACAGTTGCATCATTTGGTAAAGTTATTAAAATCACTGAATCGTGTATCTGAAACAGGTAAATTTAATGACATGTGAACTACACCTCAATAAAGCTGTTAAAAAAATTGATGCATCCTAAAAAATATTTTTCAATTTTCTGTTTTAATTTCAAATAAAGCCAATGCCAACAGGTAAAATCCACATAAACAAAAGTTCCTCAATTTTTGAAAGTGAAAAAGGATGCTGAGACCAAATAATTTAAGAATCATTGTCCTATGCCAGCAGACTCACAAAAGCTCAAAAGGGGAAAAAATTACTTTTGATAGCATATAAGTGAACTCAAAGCAAAAATACTTTAACAGCCCACAAGTCAAGAAATAAATTTAACTATTTAAAATTTCACTTGAAACAACAGAAAGAAGAAAAAGATTAAAAATAAGACTAGCCATGAAGCAATATAATGTAGAAGAGTCTGGCAGTGACTAGCTTAATTTTAAATATTGGATCTAGGATTTGTCAGTTCTGTGCCCTTGGCTAAGTAACTTAATCTCTAAATGCCTCAATTTCCTATTCTGAAAAATTAGGATATTAATGAGTCCTAACTCATAAAGGATTAAATTAGTTAATACCTGTATAACATTTAAAAGAATCCTTAACAAATAATAGTGCTCAATAAGCTATTATTAACTATATTTTCCTATGTATTTAATATAAAGTGGAGACGGATATTTGGAAAACTGACGCGGAAGAGAAAAACCTTAGAACTCTCACAATGTAATCTAGTGACATGTTTTTAAAGTGTAAAAAACTACAAGATGGCTGTATATACTTATATAAGAACACTGCTATCAGAAAGTAAAACAATCTGTAGGCACTCTGAAAAATAGTCTACTCTGTTTCCAGTTAACCTTTAATTCCTAATGCTTGTTGATTAAATAAAGATTTCTGCATTAATCAACTGTTAGTTCAAGAACTAGGTAATAAAGGAATTAAGGCTTAGAGAGATTGAGTAACTTGCCTCAAATCACCCAGTTGTGAAGCAGTATTCAAACTCAGTTTTGTCTGACTCCAGATTCCATCTCATTCCACTTGAGATCTATACTACAGTGCCTATCCATTAGAAACGGGGAGTCAGATTGGCAGGCCAGCCCCCAAGAGTATCATTCACAGTGTCACCATTTCTTAAAATGTTCCTGTGGGAAAATGCCTAATCCAATTTAAGACAGATGCTGAAACATTATCTCCTTCTCCTTGTCCATAACATACCAGGAATTCTCCACAGAATTCTCCCAACTTTACCTCCTAGCCATAAGAAAGCAGAACTCTATAGGTCTAAGACACAGAGCTTAACTCCCAAAGCCTGTTTGAAAAGTAGAGGAGGTGGTAAACAGATGGGAGTGAGAACACTACATTACTTTCTTCTTTTCTTCCTTGTTAAAGATTTCTTCTGTACTATTACCATTTACTTTTATATAAGATGGGTTTCTCTTTTATCTAGCTCATTGCACAATACACCAAATTAGAAGATTACCCAGTATACACCTGTTCCTGAAACAAGTACAAGGCATCTTGAGACTTACACTAATTTAACAAAGGATAAACACAAAGAAAAAGCACTCCCTCCAACCTGGCCTTTTCTCTTTTGTTCCATCATGGTTCCATACAAAAGAAGGCATTTGCACATCAAGGACCAGTGTCAGTTAGTCCTCAAAAAGAAAAACTCACTCTCAGGAAAAGAGAGGTATTAACAATCTCAAAAGTTCTCACCTTAATCTAAATATCATCAGACCTTGAAGGCAAATTAAGAATGAGGCTGGGGCCGGCCAAGTGGTAAAGTTCGTGCCCTCCGCTTTGGTGGCCCAGGGTTTCGCTGGTTCAGATCCTGGCTGCGGATATAGCACCCCTCGTCAGGCCATGTTGGGGTGGCATCCCACATGCCATAACTAGAAGGACCTACAACTAAGATATGCAACTATGTACTGGGGGAATTGGGGAAGAAAAAGCAGGAAAAAAAAGATTGGCAACAGTTGTTAGCTCAGGTGCCAATCTAAAAAAAGAAAGAATGAGGCTAAAGGTGTCCACATAAAATCTAGATGAGAAAATACACCAAGTTCCTTCCAGTCCCGATTCGGACATTTAAAAGTAGCATGACCATAATTCAGCAAACATTTACTGACAGAAATCTAAGTGTCAGACACAGTGGTTGTAAATACAGTGAGTAAAAAATGGTTTTAATCCTTCACAAAACTTCTGAACAACAGTTTACCCACCTTCTGAATTTAATTATTAATATAAATTGCTATTTTTATTTATTGATTGCTCAATCTCAGGCACTATGCTTAGCAACTTGTAAAGAAAATAAAAATAAAAAATTTCACAATCACCCACGAGTCAAATACTACTATCCCCATTTAACAAATAAGAAAACTGAAGTACTTAGTCGCCGAACTTCAAACCCAAATCTGCTTTATTCCACAGTCCATATATCCATAACCACTATTCAATACTATAAAATACAGACATCAGTGCTTCTCAGGAATACCATATTAACAAGATGATAGGAAAAACTGTACAAAGACACATTTACATACTAAAATAGTGTATCTACAGCATGATCATCAAGAAGCAACATAGCATTAGTAATAGCCAAGACATGGAAACAACCTAAGTGTCCATCAATGGATGAATGGATAGAGAAAATGTGGTATATATACATAACGGAATATTATTCAGCCGTAAAGAAAAAGGGAAATCCTGCCATTTGTGACAACATGGATGGGCCTTGAGGGCCTTATGCTAAGTGAAATAAGTCAGAGAAAGACAAATACTGTATGATCTCACTTATATGAGGAATCTAAAAAAAACCAAACTCGTACATACAGAGAACAGATTAGTGGTTGCCAGAGGCAGGGAAAGGGGGATGGGCAAAATGGGTAAAGGTGGTCAAAAGGTATAAACTTCTAGTTATAAGTAAATCCAGGGGATGTAATGACAGCATGGTATCTATAGTTCATAACACTATATTGTACATTTGAAAGTTACTAAGAGTAAATCTTAAAAGTTCTCATCACAAGAAAAAAAATTTGTAACTATGTGAGGTGATGGCTGTCAACTAAACTTACTGTGGTGATCATTTCACAATATATACATACTTCAAACCATTATGTTGTACAACTAAAACTAATACAATGTTATACATCAGTTATATCTCAAAAAGAAAAAAAAAGGCAAGATAGCATCAGCATAAAGTCAGACAAAAAAGGGTTCAAACTGCATCCAGCATTTACAGATGTCTGACTTTGGAAAAATTAATCTCTGAGTATAGCAGTTTCACATCTGTAAAATGTGGACAATAATACCAACATCTTGGTAGTGTTCAAGAGATGTGGCAGTACTTGATAGATGGCTGGCTACATTTAAAAAAGAGGGAAAAAAACGCTATGTATAAAAGAGACAAAATACAACAAAATCTAGTAGTATTTGGGTGATGGGATTATGGGCATTTTCTACTCCTTTTTCCTTTTCTCCTGATTTTACAAATGTTTGACAGCATGTATTGCTTTCATGGTAGAAAAGAACACAGGCTCTGAAATTTTTAAGTGTGTGACAAACCTGAAATCAGCTAAAAATCAACTAATAGTTGAAATATTGGTAATCCAACTTTACAGAAGCTGCTTAAAGAATCACGTTACACATGAGAAAACTAAAGGGTAATAATCATTTTCAAAGCGCCAGTGAATCAGAGAATAAGATCTTCTGAATTGAGATTATGATACTGTTCACTTAAAAAGTTTAACATTTTATATTAAAAGGGAATTTGAATACTCAACTGGCTAAATGACTGACAAAAATTCAAACTGATCCACAACTTATTAGAAGAACACCAAGATGAAAAGCTCCTTGCCTTCCCACTCTACCTTTGTCTTTCCGTGTTTCTTACGAAGTAAAACACATTCCAAGGATACTTTCTTCTTCAAATATTCAGAATGCTAAATAAAAATAAGGATAAACTAGCCTAAGACTTGTTGGTTTTTAAGCTTTTGAGAAAATAAAGATTCCTTCAGAGTTCCCTTTAGATCTAGCTATAACTAAAATATGATCAAGAATACTGATAAAATACAAAATACAAGCATTTGATAAATTGCTTTTTATTAACTTACAGATCTTTTATATTGTTTATGACGTGTAATAAAATCGAAAGTAATTTAATGCATTTGTTTGAAAACATTTTATAATCCAGATTAATCTTTTTACTTGAATATTGAATAAACATTAATATGGGTTGTTTTGAGGAGAAAACTGGTCAATTTTGCTCAAATACCACACAGGAAAAATAGGAGGAAATAAAGTTAAACTACTTTTAAGAGTTCAGCTAAACTTGCCCAAAAACTATTTCACTATTAGAGATTGATACCTGGACATGATGGACCCTTCATCAAAGGGAAATCATTAAACAGAGGAAAGCATTATCTCATCTTATGGTTTTGGCATTTATCTGACTATAAATGCAGAAATGAATGAAATGATATCCAAGTCCCTTCCAGTCTCACAAACGAAAGCAAAATAAAAACATATAACTCAAGAAGAACAACAGTATGAAAAGAAGAAAAACAGTATACTAGCAACCACATCTCTAACAAAAGACACCATAAGGTCTTAATTCCTTATTTTCAAGGTTAATCAAAATCAAAAAACAGGCAAACAGCAAACATTAATAAGGTACTGGAGCAAAGGAACAAACGATTCCAAGGAATAAATGAGGGAGTAAGAAGTTTTACTTACAATATCATCCTGAAAAATCATAATTAATAAACACATCCAAAAAGAATTACTACCAACCTAACATATACAAATTTACCTTTATCTTTGTGTGCACATCAAAGATATCTGGGATACTACCAAAAATAGTCTTAATCTCTTCTGGTGCAAGGATGGGCCCGCCACGCTGTCCTTCCTCTTCCAGTGGTACCTGAAACAGCTAAAAGGTAAAAAGAGACTAGTTTAGGTAGATTGTGGGCAAAAGGAAAAAAAAAGCTGACATATAGACAACGACAAAGGAGAGATGAGATGTTGATGGGAAAGAAAAAAGGAATTAAAAAAATACTTCTCCCTAAATTTGAGACCATTTTTTCTCATAACATTTTCTGTTCTAATTTATCCTATTTATATATCTGTGTATGTGTGTATATATACTCTTATAATAAAATGTTAGGTTAGAATCTAATAAAAGTTTATCACAGTTCTACAAATCATTAAATTATTAGTATGATATAGGAGTAATTTCTACTTTTTTATTCAAATTACTAAGGAAGAAAGCAATAAGCAATCAATCATTTCCAGACATATACTTAATGCAAGTACTAAATGTTTTGAAATGGTAGCACAGAAACTTGGTTTAGGGGAAAGAGACTGGATTTGAAGCTAGAAGACCCATTTGAATCCATGTTGTTGGTTGTATCAATCGAAAAAAATAAAAGGAAAAAAACTCCTAGAACTAGTGATAAGTGAGCTTAGCAAGGTCACAGGATACTAGGTCAGCATGCATGCGCGCACACACATACAAGGCTCGTATTTCTATATCCCACATTCCTATATACTAAAACCAAATGAAAACCAAAATTTAAAAAGTAGTGCCACCTAGGCGGTTAAGTTCGCGCGCTCCGCTGCAGGCGGCCCAGTGTTTCGTTGGTTCAAATCCTGGGCGCGGACATGGCACTACTCATCAAACCACGCTGAGGCAGCGTCCCACATGCCACAACTAGAAGGACCCATAATGAAGAATATACAACTATGTACTGGGGGGCTTTGGGGAGAAAAAGGGAAAAAATAAAATCTTTAAAAAAAAAAAAAGTAGTTCCACCTACAATAAAAAATTAAAATAAGTATAAATGTAATAAAACATGTACATGAAGCTGAAAACCACATCAGAATGCTGATGAAACAAATCAAAGACGACATAAATAAATGAAGACATATGGTCATAAATTAAAGACTCAACACAGTAAGAATGTCAGTTCTCTCCCAAAGTGATCTCCGGATTTAACCCAATGCCTCTCAAAATTCCAGGATTTTGTAGATAAAGAAAACTGATTCTAAAAATGCATATGGAAAGGCAAAGTAACTTCTTACTATAAAGCTGCGGTATTGAAGACTGTGTGGTACTGGAGAAAGGAGAAACATACAAGATCAACAGAACAGAATAAAGCCCAGAAACAAACCCACGAAAATATGGCCAAATAATTTTTGACAAAGGTGCAAAAGCAATTCAAATGAGGAGGGCTAGTTGTTCAACAAATGGTAGTAAAACAGGACTTGCCACAGGCAAAAAAATGAACCTCAGCCTCAATATAACACCTTACACAAAAATTAACTCAAAATGGATCACAGACCTAAACAAAAAATCTAAAAGTATGACACATTTAGAAAAAAACATAGGAGAAAATCTTCTGATTCAGACTTAGGTAAAGAGTTTTTAAATATGAAATCAAAAGTAGGATCTATAAAAGAAAAAAAGTAATAAATTGGACTTCATCAAAATTAAAAACTTTTTCTCTGCAAAGACTAGAATGAGAAGACACGCTATAGACTAGGAAAAAATATTTGCAAATCATATATCTGACACAGGACTAGTATCCAAAATATATAAAGAATTCTCAGAACTCAGAAAGGAAACCAAAATATATAAAGAATTCTCAGAACTCATAAAGGAAACAACCCAATTAAAAATGGGAAAAATTACAGTTATTTCAACAAAAAATATTTACAGATGTCATATACGGCCAAGAATAGATGTTCAACATCATTAGTTATTATAGAAATGAAAATCAACCACAATGGGATAGCTCTACACACCTATTTAAATTGCTAAAATAAAAAAATGATAATATTAAGTACTGCTGAGGGTGTGAGCAACTGGAACTCTCACACATGGCTGGTGGAAATGCAAAATTGTATAGCCCCTCTGAAACAAGGTTTCACAGTTTCTTATAAAGTTAGACACTACTTCAGTTCCTGGGCACAGACCTACACCACTCATTGACAGCCATGCTGTGGTGGCAATCCACATACAAAATAGAGGAAGACTGGCACAGATGTTAGCTCAGGGCCAATCTTCCTCAAGCAAAAAAATAAATAAATAATAAAAGTTAAATAAACTGACATATTCATACAGGAAAATGAATTACAGCTACATACAACAACACAGATGTGTCAAGAATATTTCTATCAAGTGGAAAAATGCAAGGCAATAAAAATATATAAATATGGTTACATTTATATAATTTGTTTTCCTACACAAAGGGAAATGACAAGCACAAAATTCTGGATAATGATTATCTCCGAGCGGAGGGAAAGAAATGGGAACAGGAAAAAACAATAGAGGTTTCAAAGATATTTGTAATCATTTATAAACATTCCTTTATCCAGGCAACATTTAAGTAAAAATCCTACACAAAAATATTCAGACAACGAAAATACATCAAGCTTCATTAAAATCTCTCAGTAGTCTTAAGACATCTTAAACTATCGTAAAGAGTTCTGTTTAATCCTCCATATAAAACTAGATAGCCAAAAACTATTGATTCTACCTTTCCAGTATTTCTCAAATCTATCCTTTTTCATTTTTGCTAATATCCTAAGAAGTTCAGGTCCCCAAAATCTCTAACCAAGACTGCTGAAATAACCTCCAAGTTGGCCTCCTTGCCCCCACAATCTCCCCTCTTCAATACCTCCTTCAAAGTGAACTAAGTTATCTGTCTAAAATATAAGTCAGATGATGTCATCTTTCCCTTTCCATCTAAAATTCTCCTATAGCTTACAGAAGACAAAGAACACTAGACAAAGGCCTTCTCCGGTCTGACAGGGGCAGTTTTACCTCAACTCTCACTGTATCCACACCCCACCCTAAACTCTAATCCCACTGGACCACTCAAAACACCTTGAATAATACACATCTTCAGTTGTCTGTATTGTTTGTGCAATCTCAAATACACTTCCCATGCATATTCTATGTACCAATCATACTCATAACTTTAAAATTCACTTCAATTTTTATCTTCTTTATGATGCTCGTTCCAACTTTCAACCTATCGAAAACTCCAGCCCAACATCTTCTCTAAGCTGAAAGAGAGTACACCTCTTACTTCATAAATCTCGAAATACCTAAATAAACCTCCCCCATGATGTTCATAACCCTCTACTTGGTATTATAATTAGGTATGCATGTTTTATGTCCTCTTCCAGTCAAAGCTCCTTTAAAACAGGAATCCTCTTTATCACCTGGCACAATACTTTATATTAATAGGCACCCAAGTATTACATAGAATAAATAAAGAAGGTTCGGGATATTTACTTTGGGGGCTAAAGTTATTCCAAATCCAATTTTTTAAAAAAAAGAACACATTAGTCCTAAAGCAAAGCTTAAAAGAGAAAAATATTATGAATTTAGACCACAATCTTTTTTTCTTTTTAAGATTGGCACCTGAGCCAAAATCTGTTGCCAATCTTCTTTGTTTTTCTTTCTTTCTTCTTCTCCCCAAAGACCGCTAGTACATAGTTGTAAATTCTAGTTTTAAGTCCTTCTGGTTGTGCTATGTGGGAGGTAGCCTCAGCAAGGCCTAATGAGTGGTGCCATGTCTGTGCCCAGGATCTGAACCAGGGAAACCCTGGGCTGCGAAAGGAGAGCCCACAAACTTAACCACTCAGCCATGGGGCCGGCCCCTAGACCACAATTTTTTAAATAAAACCTTAGGTGAGTTTATAATAAGCATAACGATATGAAACTTTTTGTCTACAGTCTAATAATTCCAAGAGCTTTTTTAAAAGGAGTTTTAGTGAATTTAATTGATACGCAAATTAAAATTCTGAAACTCCAGTGCATTTACCGTGGTCTGAAAGGATTTACATTTCTAGGTAATAAATGCTATGGAAGTACATGAACAGTATACACCAAAAGGGATTGTCTGCTACACAACTACATTTTGGCTGACTATAAAAACTTCAGTAAGAAACTCATCTAGGATGATTTCCCTTGAGGAAGAAAAGCAAAGCTGACTTGAAACAAGTGAACTTTAAAACAGCAGAGGGCCTCATAAAACCCTGACTATTGCTAAACAAATTAACTGTGAAGAATAACCTCTCCATGATTACCAACAAAGAAGTCTTTCCATTTCTTAACCATGCACTCTATCGATGGCACAGCAACTACAGGTTATTCTATTGGACTCCAAGGAGTTAAATTAAGAACTCAGATAGAGGTCAGTCAAAAATCAAACACAAACAGAAACTCCCTATCATTTTTCTATTCAAAGACAAGCTTACTGGTATGAACTTTATTTTTCTGACAAACTCTCTCCTTCATCACCTAAAACAAATTTATTCCTTCTTTCTACAGATTCCAAATAATGTTCTGTTACTGTGTTTTTCAGAACTTAGAATTTTGGTTGATTCCTTAATATCTTCTTCAAACATCTTACAGGGACTCATCAGAATTGTTTTTCTTCAGAAATCACTTCATAGTACATTTAATATTGGTAAGTAATGAGTTAACATTTATTTATGACTAACCACTGCATACTTTAAGAAAACTTGACACAAAAGAATTATTGGAAAAAATTACTGACATCCATAGTGCTATGCTTCGTGGCTCCTGCTTTTTCACAGATATACAGTACTACAGAAAGCAATGACTCTGGAACACATACTTTCAGAAACTTACCTACCACTTCCAAATATAAATATAAACGCAGCATCAAACTCAGTCCGCTCTAAGAGCATCTACTGAGGATCCTTCCCTCTTTAAAGTCACTATAAAAAATGGTGCTATTTTTGCATGAATAAAGCTACTATTACAGTTAGGGCATTTCTCTAACAGCAGTTTCTGTCACACATTTTCATTTTTAATATCTATGTTCAAATTCTATGCTTACATAATTTTCTTGTAAGAAATAACATCTCAGATTTCTTAAGAACACTGGAACAGAGATCACTTTGCAACCAAACTCTTACCTGAATGATTGTGGCCAATATATTTACATAATTACTTTCAGTCTGATAGAGCTCTTTTGCAACTTGCCACCTGGCTGACTGCTTTGAGGGAACTGGAGTGGAATTTTTAGAAGACTTAGTACAGGACTTTGGGGTTTCTAAAAGGTAAAAAGAAGGAAAGATTTAAAACGGAAGCCAGATATAAGTACCAAACACTGTACAGATTTAACAGAAAGAAAGAGAAGGATACCTACTCTCATAAATATACCACCATACAGATTTTCATTAAAGTATAATTTCCTTACAGGATAAGGCCAGAAAAAAATAATGGTCAAAAATACCAATGACTCCAAATTCACATTCTACTGAACAAATGGCCCGAACTCTTCAAAAATGGCAAGGTCATTAAAGACAAAGAATGATCAAGACACTGATCCAGGTTAGAAGAGACTAGGGAGAGATAACAATATGTGATCCTGAATTGTATCCTAAACCAGAAAAAAATACTATTTTCTTTTGCTGAAAAAGACATTAGGGCATGGGGCCAGCCCAGTAGCACAGCGGTTAAGTTCATGTGCTCTGCTTTGGCGGCCCGGGGCTGGCTGGTTCAGATCCTGGGTGTGGACCTATGCACCGCTTGTCAAGCCATGCTGTGGCAAGCATCTCACATATAAAATAGAGGAAGATGGGCACAAATGTTAGCTCAGGGCCAGTCTTCCTCAGCAAAAAGAGGACTGGCAGATGTTAGCTCAGGACTAATCTTTCTCAAAAGAAAAAAAAGACATTAGGGCATTAATGAAACAACTGGTAAAATTTGAAGGTCTATAGAGTAGATCATAGTATTAATGTTAATTTCCTAATTACAATACTTGTACCGTAGTTACCTAAGAAACATCCTCAAATTTTGCGAAATATAAATTTAAGTATTTAGAGGGAAAGGCATATCATCTGCAACTTACTCTCAAACACCACAGATATAAAAACTACGTGTGTGTGTGTAGAAAAAAAGAGAGAACGAATGCTAAAGCAAATAGCAGATTATTTCCATTTGGGAAATCTGAGTACAGGAATCCTTATACTATTTTTGCAACCTGAAATGTTTTCAAAATAAAAAGCTTAAATAATAAAATAGAAAGCAACATATAAAAATATTTAAGTTGAAAAAGGAGGAAAAGGTTGTGATGATTACACAAATAGAATAATGAAAAACTTTTCGTGTATATACAGAGAAAGCCTCCCTCAAAAATCTCCAACATCAATTGCAAGTTCTTTGTTAGTTCAAAGTATCTTATAAAATAAAACATCCAGTCCAGGGGCCAGCCCCGTGGCCTAGTGGTTAAGTTCAGTGTGTTTCGCTTCAGCAGCCTGGGTTCCCAGGTTTGGATCCCAGGCACAGACTTACACCACGTGTCAGCCATGCTGTGGCGGTGATCCACATATAAAAAAACAGAGGAAGACTGGCACAGATGCTAGCTAAGGGCTAACCATCCTCAAGCAAAAAAAGAAGATTGGCAACAGATGTTAGTTCAGGGCTAATCTTCCTCAGCAAAAAAACAAAAACAATTTTTTTTAAAAAAATCCAGTCCAACCCAAAGTGGAAGGAGGATGCATTAGTATATTTTATATGCATTTTAAGAAAAATTTTTTAAAAAATGAAATTTCATATAATCTTAAAATACATTTTCTTACTATTAATATGGTTACAATATTTCAACGCTATTACAGAAACTCCTAATAGAAAGCTTTTCAATAGGAAAAGGAATGAAGGCAATAGAGTCTCAGCATACCAATTTTACTCAATGGTAACTTTAAGCACTACTAAAACCAGCATGTGTACTATGGAGTTTTGAAGGCTTTTTAAAGATAACTGACTCCAAAGAATTTCCCACTTGTCATACATAATCCAGGCTATTCTCACCAGACCCAGGAGCCTCGACCATTACAGGATGCTTCAAGGGGAAAAAACTGACATATGCTGATACAAATTTAATTATTGTCTGTAGGCAGTGATCTACAGACTGGGGATTCTACTACATAGAGTACCTGGTACATTAGTATAGTTGTCATGTCTGTTTTCTTAGTGGTTCATTTTTCTTCTCTTGTCCACTAAACTGCATATTCAGGTTTCAGTCCTTTATGATCAGCTCCTACCACTCCTAGTCCCTTGAGTCCACCATGATTATAGAACCAGTAAATTCTCAGGTCTCTGTATCTAACCATATTCCCCTGCCCAAGAACCTGGTTCCACTTTTCCAAATGCCTACAGGACATTTCCATCTCAATTTAACCTAGATTTTCCCTAAAACTTCACTATATTCCTCCAAAACATAAACGTCCTATTTTTGCCAAGGTAACATTTCTTCCATTTAATACTTTGCCGTCATCTCCTCTTATTCCCTTCCTATCACTCCATTCTATCAATATTTCCCCAGCATTTCTTATTTCTTTCCAACCATCACCAACCCTAGGTTCAGGGCCTTATCACTTCATGGCTCAGCTATCTCTAAACTGCCTTCCTCCTAATCATTCTTCAGAATAATCCACTACAAACTATATATTCAATCAATTACTCTGCTGCTTAAGAGTTTCTAAAGTTCTTTGTTGATGAAAATACACAGTTCAGATATATCTGTCTGATTTCAAAGTCCCCTAATATTAGGCTCAATTAACTTTCTAATTTAACTATTACTCTTCCATATTCCAAGAAAACTGACCTGTTCACTATTTCCTAGAAATTCAATTTATATACTGTTATCTCTATTCCTGCTCCTCATATATTCTCAAATCCACCTTAGTTTCCTGGGCCTACCTTAAATTGACTTTCAATTCCTTCCATGAATATTTAGTGGGTACCTACACTAGGCACTGGGAATAAAGCAGAGGATAAGATAGGCAAGGTTCTTGTTCTCTTAAAGCTTACATTCTGGTGAAGCAAATAAAATAATAAAGAAATAAACAAAAAACATAATTCCTAACAGTGATTACTAGTGAAGACAACCAGGTAATGAGTTAGTCAGAAGCAGTGGTAGAACAGGGACTTAACTTTATAGAGAACCTAGTAAGATTTCTTTAAGGCAGAGAGAGCAAGTATAAAGTTCCTGAGGTATGGATGTAGTAGAAATATTTGAACAATCAGAAAGATAGTGCGACTGAGGCTTAGAGAACATTATTGGAGAGTAGGATACCACAAAAGCTTAGAGGTAGGTGAGAAAGGATTACATACTTGAAAGCTATAGTAATACAAAGCTACCGAATGACGTTAAGCAGAGGAGTGGCATGATCTAATTTATATACTTTTAGAGACCTAAGTGCTGCACGTAGAAAGGCAAATATGGATATAAAAAGACCACTTAGAATAACACTGCAATCTCTAAGAGAGATCTTTTTTATAGAAAAGGCTGATTAAAGGGTGACAAAGGAATAGAGCTAAGAGTGGTAGACAGAACCAGGAGTTCTAATTTGATTATGTTAAGTTTGAGATGTGTATTAGACATGAACAAGGCTGGTATCGAGCAGGCAGTTAGACAGAGAAGACAAATTTGGAAGTCATCAGCATTAAAAGATTTTTGAAGCCATAGAATTAAATGAGATCATTTAGGGAGAATACAATAGAGAATAACTTAGGAATAACATTAAACATGTAGAGGTGGAGAGAGAAGTTAGGCAAAGAAGAATGAGAAATGAGTGATGTACACACAAGCCAAGAGAAAAAAATGCATCCAGGAAGGAGGAGCTGTTCATGTGTTGAATGCTACTGATTGCCTAAAAACTGTCAGTCTCCCCAGCAAGAGCAATTTCACATAGTAGGGACTGAAGTTCAATTGGAATGGGTTGAAAACAGAATGAAAAAGCAAGGAATTGAGATGATGGATCAAGGTAATTTTCTGAAGAATACTCATGTGAAATGGAAGAGGGAAATGGGATAGTAAATGGAGAGGGTCATGGGGTCAAGGGGGAGGTTTTGATTGTTTCTTAAATCTAGAAAACACAACATATTTATGTACAGAAAAAAAACAAAAATAGAGGGAAAAATGGATGATCAAGAGAGAAGAGTTAATTGTACGAGCCTTCCTGTATCAGTTGAGGACAAATTGAACTCACCCTCCCCTGACTTCATTGTACCTATTTTCTCCATAAAGCATGTGACATCCTATGTGACTTTTTTTTAGCTAGTGTTAAGAATCTGCTCTTTGAACAGCTCTATCACTTTCTAGCTGTGTGACCCTAGACAAGTGACTTCTCTATCCTCAGTCTAGTCATTTGTAAAATAGGGGTAATGAAAAAAGTTATAAATACTCAAAATATTAAGAACTTAGCATATACTAAAGACCATTAAATGGAAGCATTTTCATGTGCCTTTTCTCCTCTAGAAGAAAGGTAGTTAAAAGCAGAGCCTTTCATATTTACTATAGTAGGGATCTATCAATATTCTATTAATCATACCATTCCACTAAATTGTAAAGATGAATTTTTAAAAATGTGAATTACCTCCATAGTTAATGCTAGACTCTGGTGTATTGGAGATATCTAGGAGTGATCCTATAGAAAGGGAATGTTCAGCAGACGGACGCTTACGGGGAGGGAAAGGTGACATGTCTGTCTCTCTCGAAAGCTGAGCAAGTGTCTCTTTTAAACGACGTCTTTTGCGATTGCTGTTTGGTGTATTTAGAGAAAGCAGTGACACTGATTTCTTGAGCTCAGGTGTATTAGCCTGCAATGAAAAGCACAAAAGCTCAATTTTACTTCCATGGCTCTTTACTGAGACAGAAACAAAAGAAAAATATATTTATGAGTCTGACAAAATCTGGATTTTGCACAATAATTCTACAACTATACACTCTGCCAGGTAATTCAGAAGCCTCATAAAACATGATAGTCAAGGGACCAATGTAATTGTCTAAGCCCCAGCACCTCACTCCTTTTCTTCATAGCACTCTCACCAGTACACATTCATCTGTAAGCTGGCCTACTGTCTACTGCCCCATTAGGTCATAAACTCCAGGAGGGCAGGGACCACTCGTATTTTGTTCACTGTATCCCTAGCATTCAGCACAGTACCTGGACATAACACTCGCCAATATTCGTCAAATAATGCTTGATTTTAAGAGGTCTCTCCCATAACCTAAAGCATTTTTTTAAACTTTATATTAAGAACCTTACACTGAGAACAGAAGAGTCAGAAGAGAACACAATATAGTACCTATTTAGATTTTATAGAAACATACTAAATCCACACCTCATCTTCAACATTCCATTCAAAAGTAAATTTCCCCTAAAGCCTGCTTCTATACCTTTATGCCACATTGTGGTGAATAATACTACTCTTCACCAAGACTCAGCATGAAGACTGGATTTTTCTTGCCTACATTCTACTACTAGTCATTTTTTTAATGACATCTCTCCCCTTAATATTCTTCAATGACTCCCAATACTTATATGATAAAATCCAAACTCTTCAACACATTAAAAACTTCTTGGTTCTGCCTACCTAGTTAGCTTCATCTGTTGGCCTTCTTTCCCATACTCTTTTCTAAAGCTGTACTAAACTACTTGCCATTTTATTGTACTTTCAAGCTTTCGTAGCCTCCCCCACCTGCTGTCTAACTTGAATTTCCTTACCAGCTTAGCCTAATAAGTTGGCTCAACATTTATCTGCTCTTTTGAACCCTGCCTGAGTCTCTCAGAGTGAGGCTAGTTAGAATACTAGCACATACTGATCACAGTAAATATCATTCTGCACTGTACCTGTTTGTATATCTACTTAGAACCCTTAAGGTTCTAAGTTTCTGAAGATAGGGATGTTATTGCTCATAACGGTATCACCAAGAATTAGCACAGAATTAACATATATTAGAGTAAAGTAATGTCCATTACACTGAATAGTTTCACTTAAATCTACATAGCCTAAGACTATTATTCAATATCCAATTGTTTATTCTGAAACTCCTAAAGATGATATAAAAGCTGACCGTATGCTAATTATACCATGCTCATTTGGGATGGACCATCATCTTTATACAATCAAGGTCACAGGACAAATGACTAAGGGACAAAAAAAGCATACCTTTTCATATAAATACATAGTTTCTCCAGCTCGGGCATCCATTTGAATGCTTCCCCAGAACCACTAGGTGAGAGAAAGAACATTTTAATTAAGAATTTAGTTTCTCAGAAAGGCTACTAGTAATATTTTTTAAAAAGCAATCTCATTCTAGAATTACTTGCCTCTTGCTTCACAACATAAAGCTTCTTCGAAGGTTCAAATGGAAGTTCTTTTACTATATTCTCTTCAACTACAAGGTGAGTGCATCTTTCATCTCCAACTGGTAAATAGTTACCTCCTAAAAAAGGAATGCATACAAGCATAAAGAAGCCAAACTATCTCCAAACCCAAATTTTTAAAGAGGCATATTCACCAGGAAGTGATTAAGCCGAAGTTGGAAATAAAATACATATAACTTTTAAATTATGCTAAATTCTACCTTGCATTTCAGTCATTTCTTCCATATTGGTTTTCTCTTCATCTGAAAATCCCAGGAAACTTAAAATGCAATCTTGAAATGGAGGAACTTTAAAATCATTTCTAAAGTCATCAACTGATGCACAAAAATCCCTAAAAACAAAATACACTCTTCTAAAACCAGCTTAACTTAAATTCCAAACTAGGTATATCCATGTATAAATCTACAGTAATTCTCAAGGCTTTATCATAATCTATTTATTGAAAATATTTTGCATCTGGTCCTGAAATGCTCACAAAAACTTCAGTTTAAAAAATACCACTGTGTCCTCAGTCATCCCAGAAGAAACTTCTGACAAAATCTGATCATGGGTAATCTTTACAAGATGCAAACCTCTGCTCTGTACATGAACTTTTATGTCTTCCAGACGTTCTATAGTTTCGTGAAATCTTAACTAATGATGAAGTACGACAGCAAGGAATTATGAGGTTGGAAAGCTTAACGAGGTTATAAATTGCAACCACCACTTAAAATGTAACCAAACAAAATAAGACAAAAATACAACACAATCTAAACATCCAGATGCATTAAGCTATTAACTAATAATTTTAGAATGTTTGTGATAATCAAAATTATTTCACAAGGTGAAGTCCAAAGATAACACAGGTGTTTTTCAATTTTCATAATTTTTTTATAACTTTGCTCATCTTAGACTTTATTCCCTAAGCTATGCAAAAACTAAATTCATTTTTGCTATACTATCTACGAATTTAGGGTTTTGGGTAATTGAGTTTACCTTTATAAGATAGTACGTTTTTTTCACATAATGAACTACAGAATTTCTAAACACTTACTGTTCATTCCGCCTTTCCCAAGCCTTATAAATCCATTCTGGCTTCATAATTGGAGTACCCAAGCTCACAGCAATCTAAAAATGCAAACATTAATTATAATGAATTTTTACCTTAAATAACTATATTCATAGAAATTCTAAGCAATGATACACATACTTTTTTTGCACAGTTTTAGATCATTGTTCATCTGCTTTGTAACAAAATTAAAGAAAAATTAACACAAAAAACTGTCTTTCAATCATACAGCTTAGGTTAAAATACTTTAAAACAAGTTCCATGATGTCAAAACCATTTCCTTATTTTATTTTAAATAAATTTATCTCTGAAGTTAAGTTCATCTTTATTATATTTCTATTTCTCCTTTCTTCATGTTTACTTCCTTAGAAGCACTGACCCCTAAGACAGTACTACAGAAGAAAACATCTGATTAAGTTACATTTAGTTATAAATTGGAGAGTATACCTCCCAGGAATTCAAGATTACCCTAAAATTACCATTTGCACATAAATACACTGACAGAGAGTGAGAACAAAGTGATAAACTCTTTTAAGATATTCAAGTGCAATCTTAAACTAAGATTTTAACCCTAATAAAAGTACTTTTCTCCTGTTCTAATTTTCACAAGTTAAATCTTAGAATTGTTTTATAAGAACATTGCTCTGTTTTTATAAAGACCACTTAGACAAGAGTGAAATACTTACTCTCGTCACTTTCTGACCTCCTCATTCACAATGCTCACAGTAATATTATTCATCTGTCTGAAATGTTATCCATCTACCATCCTCCACAGTCCTACTCATCTTTCAAGACCTAACTCAAGATCCATTGCTTCCTTAAAACCTACGGGACCATAATCCTATGAATTAAAATTTGCGCTAAATATACATACAGCAAAAATTGAATTTCTGATCATTAATAACTTGTGGGAGAAATAGATGAGAGTGCTATTAATAAATCCATCCCAAATAATGGTATATTGAAATACAAAAAACAACCAAGTTTACATACCCTGAATTTTTCACCTTGCGTACAATTTGCCACCAAATGTGTAACTTTTGAATTGCAATCTTTTCGAATAACTCCACCCATGTGATGGACCAATGTCACTAATCTGACCTCAAAAGAAAAATTAAGCAATATTGTCTTTATGATTAATTTGAAGAAAATTTTAAACGATGTTTACAATTCATTTAGCATTTACTGAATACTTTCCATTCATAAGAGTACATATAAGAATTTTTATAGAGATATAAATTTTATGTCAAAAAATTAAAAATTCATTTGCCTTACTGGCACAGGCAAAATTATACATAGCAATAAGCTAGTAAAGATGATCACACAAAAAAAGTTAATTAAACTAGCTTTCATATAACTTATTATTTTCTTAACATCAAGTTACATGACACTAAGATGCTTCCCACAAAATTAGAGTAATATCCCCTTAGCTCTAACATAGAAAATTTTATGAATCAGAAAAAGTTTCCATGAATTCTCTAGGGTAATGAGAATACTTTAAGAATGGACTTGCATAACAAAAAATTGCAATGTGTAAATAAAAATTTCAAATAATGTGGTTGATGTGGTACATAACAAAAAGATAGTTTAAACAGATGACATAGTTATGAAATTTTGCTGTTAATTTATAGGCCAGCCATCCTAGACAAAACACTTGTGTCTTTACAAGGCTCTTCAGAATGTTTCTTGGTAACATTTAAAACTTGATATATTCATAGTAATTTCTCCTTCAAGATTTTTTAAATAAAACCATAATACAACTACCAAAAAGATGCCACTTAAATTGATTTTGCTGTAGAAAATTATTCTTTGAATAGAATGTTTTAAGATACTTACTAGTTCTTCTTTCTTCCTGAATCCAGTAAAGCAAAGTGTGAGATTCATCATGCTTGTACAATAGAGTGGGCGACATGAAAATGGCAAGGGCTGAGGATACAACAATTTTAAATGTGTGAGCTTTCTTTATAGTAGAAAATAGAACACATCTTTCTCAAGTTAAATATATTTCCCCCTCTTGCCAATCAAAAAATTACTTGCATTTTTCAATATGCAACAAAAAAACAGAGTGCAAGTTTCACAATAAAAGATTTTCACATGATTCCCAAATCATAGTTGATACATATAATCTAAACACACCTTATTATTGGCAAATAAAACAAATTTTTTTTAAAGATTGGTACCGAGGTAATATCTGTTGCCAATCTCTTTTTTTTTTCCCCTTTCTTCTCCCCAAAGCCCCGCAGTACATAGCTGCACATTCTAGTTGTGAGTGCCTCTGGCTGTACTATGTGGGACGCCACCCCAGCACAGCCCAACAAGCAGTGCCATGCCCACACCCAGGATCGGAACAGGCAAAACCCTGGGCCACTCAGCCACGGGGCCGGCCCCTAAACATAAAATATTTCTATCCAAACCTTTAGCAGGAGAGAAATAATAAAAATCAGAGCAGAAATAAATGCTATTGAAAGGAAAAAGGTGGCAGAAAGGATCAATGAAACAAAGAGCGAGTTCTTTGAGAAGATAAGTAAAATTGACAAACCCCTAGCCAGACTTGCAAAGAAAAAAAGGGAGAAAGCTCAAATAAACAAAATCAGAAATGAAAGAGGAGAAATAACAACAGACTCTGCAGAAATACAACGGATTATAAGAGAATACTAGGAAAAATTATATGCCAACAAAATGGATAACCTAGAGGAAATGGATAAATTCTTGGACTCCTACAATCTCCCAAAGCTCACTCAAGAAGAAGCAGACAATCTGAACAGACCAATCACAAGGAAAGAGATTGAAACAGCAATCAAAAACATCCCAAAGATTAAAACCCCAGGACCAGATGGCTTTCCTGGGGAATTCTACCAAACTTTCAGAGAGGATTTAATACCTATCCTTTTCAAGCTATTCCAAAAAATTAGGGAGGATGGAACACTTCCTAACACATTCTACAAGGCCAACAGCATGCTGATACCAAAGCCTGACAAGGACACCACGAAAAAAGAGAACTACAGGCCAATATCGCTGATGAACATAGATGCAAAGATTCTAAACAAAATTTTGGCAACCAGAATTCAGCAATTCATCAATAGGATCATACATCATGATCAGGTGGGATTCATACCAGGGACACAGGGATGGTTCAACATCCACAAATCAATCAACGTGATACACCACATCAACAAACTGAGGAATAAAAACCATATGATCATCTCAATAGATGCAGAGAGAGCATTTGACAAGATCCAACAGCCATTTATGATAAAAACTCTGAACAAAATGGGCACAGAACGGAACTACCTCAACATAATAAAGGCCATATATGACAAGCCCACAGCCAACATCATACTCAATGGGCAAAAACTGAGCGCCATCCCCCTGAAAACAGGAACGAGACAAGGATGCCCTCTATCACCACTCTTATTTAACATAGTACTGGAGGTCCTGGACAGAGCAATCAGGCAAGAAAAAGGAATAAAAGGAATCCAAATAGGGAGGGAAGAAGTGAAACTCTTGCTGTTTGCAGACGACATGATCTTATATATAGAAAACCCCAAAGAATCCATTGGAAAACTCTTAGAAGTAATCAACAACTACAGCAAAGTTGCAGGCTATAAAATAAATTTGCATAAATCAGTAGCATTTCTATATTCTAATAATGAACTAACAGAAAAAGAACTCAAGAACACAATACCATTCACAATCGCAACAAAAAGAATAAAATGCCTCGGGGTAAATTTAACTAAGGAAGTGAAGGACCTATACAATGAAAATTACAAGGCCTTTCTGAGAGAACTGGATGACGACATAAGGAGGTGGAAAGACATTCCACGTACGTGGATTGGAAAAATAAACATAGTTAAAAATGTCCATTCTACCTAAAGAAATCTACAGGGGCTGGACCCGTGGCTGAGTGGTTAAGTTCGCGCGCTCCGCTGCAGGCAGCCCAGTGTTTCGTTGGTTCGAATCCTGGGCGCGGACAAGGCACTGCTCATCAAACCACACTGAGGCAGCGTCCCACATGCCACAACTAGAAGGACCCACAACGAAGAATATACAACTATGAACCGGGGTGCTTTGGGGAGAAAAGAGGGAAAAAATATAAAAAAATCTTAAAAAAAGAAAAAAAAGAAATCTACAGATTCAACGCTATCCCAATCAGAATCCCAATGACATTCTTTACAGAATTAGAACAAAGACTCTTAAAATCCATATGGGGCAACAAAAGACCCCGAATTGCTAAAGCAATCCTCAGAAAAAAGAACAAAACGGGAGGAATCACAATCCCTGACCTCAAAACATACTACAAAGCTACAGTAATCAAAACAGCTCAGTATGGATACAAAAACAGGTGCACAGATCAATGGAACAGAATTGAAAGCCCAGAAATAAAACCACACGTCTATGGACAGCTAATCTTCGACAAAGGAGCTGAGGGCACACAATGGAGAAAAGAAACTCTTTTCAACAAACGGTGCTGGGAAAACTGAAAAGCCACATGGAAAAGAATGAAAATTGACCATTCCTTCTCACCTTTCACCAAAATAAACTCAAAATGGATCAAAGACCTAAGGTGAGACCTGAAACTATAAGGCTTCTAGAAGAAAATGCAGGCACTACACTCTTTGACACCAGTATTAAAAGGATCCTTTCAGACACCATGTCTTCTCAGAGAAGGGAAACAATAGAAAGAATAAACAAATGGGACTTCATCAGACTAAAGAGCTTCTTCAAGGCAAATGAAAACAGGATTGAAACAAAAAAACAACCCACTACCTGGGAAAAAATATTTGCAAGTCATACATCCAACAAAGGCTTAATATCCATAATATATAAAGAACTCACACAACTCAACAACAAAAAATCAAACAACCTGATCAAAAAATGGGCTGGAGACAGGAACAAACATTTCTCCAAAGAAGATACACGGATGGCCAATAGGCACATGAAAAGATGCTCATCCTCGCTGATCATCAGGGAAATGCAAATCAAAACTACACTAAGATATCACCTTACACCCATTAGAATGACAAAAATATCTAAAACTAATAGTAACAAACGTTGGAGAGGTTGTGGACAAAAAGGAACCCTCATACACTACTGGTGGGAATGCAAACTGGTGCAGCTACTATGGAAAACAGTATGGAGATTCCTCAAAAAATTAAAAATAGAACTACCATACGACCCAGCTATCCCACTACTGGGTATCTATCCAAAGAGCTTGAAGTCAGCAGTTCCAAAAGTCCTATGCACCCCAATGTGCATTTCAGCATTATTTACAAAAGCCAAGACGTGGAAGCAACCTAAGTGTCCATCAACTGATGACTGGATAAAGAAGATGTGGTATACATATACAATGGAATACTACTCAGCCATAAAAAAGAACAAAATCGTCCTATTTGCAACAACATGGATGGACCTTGAGGGAATTATGTTAAGTGAAATAAGCCAGATAGAGGAGGACAATCTCTGTATGACTCCACTCATATGAGGAATTTAAAAATGTAGACAAAGAGAACAGATTAGTGGCTACCAGGGGAAAGGTGCAGTGGGGGGTGGGCACAAAGGGTGAAGGGGTGCACCTGCAACACGACTGACAAACAATAATGTATAACTGAAATTTCACAAGATTGTAACTTATCATTAATGCAATAAAAATTTTAAAAAAAGAGAGAATTGAAGATTATCATGTCTTTATTATTAGTGTCTACAATAAAAGATGCACAATGACCTAAGCAATTTTAAGTTAATAAGACAAGCTTAAGAATGGGAAAAACATAGCAATAAAACCAAAGAATAGGGACTAAGTCTATTACAACTCTTATATTGAAATGCTATTTAAAAGCAAAAAGCTAAGGGGCTGGCCCAGTGGCGCAGCGGTTAAGTGTGCACATTCCTCTTTGACGGCCTAGGGTTCGCTGGTTCGGATCCTGGATGCGGCCATGGCACCACTTGGCAAGCCATGCTGTGGTACACGTCCCACATATAAAGTAGAGGAAGATGGGCACAGATGTTAGCTCAGGGCTAGTCTTCCTCAGCAAAAATAGGAGGATTGGCAGCAGATGTTAGCTCAGGGCTAATCTTCCTCAAAAAAATAAAAACAAAAAGCTAATGTAATTTCCCTAATTTTAAATCATGCAGCAACTGAGAAAAATGGAAATGCAGTAACTATTCTGTGTAGAGAAAATAAGTTTATGAATGCATTTCTGGAACCCAAATTATTTCTTCCCAAGACACTGTAGGTACTAAGACAATTTACATATACACAAAAACACACACACATATATACACACACACGAATATATAGTTATTATTTAACTTTTAAAGGTCTTAGACTTTCACTACTGAAATTACAATAGAAAGAATTAAATGACTATATTAGAGTAGCCACTACTATGCCAATTCTAAATATTTCATACTCTCAACAATTAATGGAATTTTTTTCCTTATGAATTTTCAAAAATTCATTAATAACAATTTAACCTTGGAAAGTCATTACAAACATATATTCTTTCTTACCTCGCCTTTCTGTGCACAGTTTAATACAACTGGTGGTCCAATAACTCTACAGTCATTCTTGTATAACTCATTAAAGACAGCATCCTGGAAGTTCATGACGATGAATACATTTTCAAATTCTGGAGAATCCAAACTTTCAAATTCTTCCACTGATGCCATCTTTACAAAGGGCACTTTAATTTCCTTGATTTTTTTCATATAGTTATTAGAAATAAAATTTATATGTTATTAAATTAATTCATATAACTCTCCAAAGAAGATCTAAAAAATTCAATACCAACATTTAAGTGTTCTACAAATACAAAGTTTTAAATCATATAATAATGAGCATTTACTTAACAGTCAACAGCCATATTTCTTTATTTGTATTTTTATGTATACATATCTCCATCCACATTAAGATCTTAAATTTTGAAGATTATTATAAAGGCATAAGCTTCTGACATAAGTTGGTAGTCATTATAAATCATCTTGTATGCATATAAAATAAGAATGAAGAATTCTTTTAAGTACATACATTTTGATAATGGAATGCATTAGAAAGATATCCACTACTGCTTTTTATTCTGACCAAGAAATGACGCCATACATATAACTATTCCTGCCCAAATTAACTGTCCTCAGAAAAACAGAAAAAAATACTACGGCACTTAATATCTACAAAAAGGATGTAGATTAACTTAATCATTTCAGTATATATGAGGGAAATAGAAAGATGTGAAATATCTTTGCAGCATGGCAAATGTAGGATATAAAAAGGCAAGTTACTGTTTAACACTTATACTGTAAATCTACAAAAAAAGAAGATATTTAAGTACCTGTATGACTCCTGTGTAAAAAGAACAGAACCATTTAAAAGAAAATTCTGAATGGGGCCAGCAAATGATTTGAGCTTTATTTGCTAGGCTGATGGGATGGGCTGAATCATGTACCCCCAAAATACATGCTGAAGCCCCAACCCCCTGTACCTCAGAATGCAACTGTATTTGGAGATACACCCTTTCAGGTTAATTGAGGTCACATGGATGGACCCTAATCCAATCTGACTCGTGTCCTTATAAGAATAAATCTGGGCACACACAAGAGATACCAGGGATGTGCACACACAGAAGAAAGGCCACCTGCAAGCCAAGGATAGAGTCCTCAAGAGAAACCAAACCTGCCAACACCTTGATCTTAGACTTCTAGCCTCCGGAACTGAAAGAACATACATTTGTTGTTTAAGCCGCCCCAGACTGTGGTATTTTGTTACGGCAGCCCTCACAAACTAATACAGCTGATACAGAGAATCAGGTATATTCATATGCTGAGGCAAATTCCCTGATGATTGTCAATTATTGTGACATAATTTTGAAAATAAAGCAAGCATTTAGAATAAATATAAAATTAATGAGAAAAAGGCTGAAGAGTTTAAAGAAAAGTATCAGATCTTTGTAAATACATGGTATATCATTTAAATTTAACAATGCCAAATTACTTTATAAGGATTTCATTATTTACAATAAGCTATAGTGTGGGGTTTCAGAAAAACCCAAATTTTAAAAATAAATACAAAACAATTTCTATTCATCTAGCTCCATAGTGCACAAAACATGCCGTGTGCCTAATTTAGGGCCAATCACCATAAGTGAAATATAAGAATACAATCAAGGGAAGTGCAGCATGCCGCATGCAATGAAATGCTTGACCTACCATATTAACAATACTTTTTATTAATTTTTCATCCGATTTTCCAGGACAACTTTCTCTTATCTTTATAACAGGGACTTCCATTATTTTAACACTCTGTGGAAAAGAGACTTAAGTATGAGATAAAGAAAACTATAAATTTATTTACACAGTGATGGAAGAAAAATAGCTTTTTAAAAAAAACTAAAAGCTAAAACTCCATACCTTTAAGGCTTTTATAAGTTCTTCTTGTTTTCCAGCCTCTTGAACCAATATCACTCTTGTTTCAATTTGAGGCATTTCTTCTATTAAAATTAAAAATGTTTAAATATCTTTATCAGGTACTAACATCAAAACCAGCAGTTCCTAATCCCTTTTTTGGCTATATCTGGGATGTTTTCCATGTTTGAGATCATAACATTCTCCAAAATTAAAATCACTTAATTCCCAGTTTATTAAAATGAAAGTGGCCATATATCATTTTAGAGGAAGAGAAAACATATTGTAGCAGAGTATACAAACATCAGCACTCCCCCAAACCACACAGAGCAGTCACCACCTTGCACAGTCACCCTCTTCAACAGCGCATGCGACCGTAGGGAAAACCATTCACACAGAGCAGTCACCACCTTGCAGAGTCACCCTCTTCAACAGTGCATGCGACCGTAGGAAAGACCATTCACACAGTGGTGAGGGAAGAAGTGGCTCTTCACCTAACCAGTCATAACTGAACATATTCTAGCCAACTGTGTTGCAGCTAGACTGCTGTCACATACACAAAAAGCAATATCCAACAATAAGGTGCCTTCCCCTCAAAGTGGGGAAGCATTAATCCAAACAATACTCAAACATCTACATAGTGTAAGGAGTTTCTGTCAACAAATATTGACTGAATACCTGTACTCTAGCTTAACAGCTAAATCATAAGAAAGTCACTAGACAGGAAGTTTAGGATTGAAATAGCAATTTGGTGCTTGAAAGCATATAACAGATTTACCTTCAACATATGAAGTAGAGCCAACAAACAAGTTTTCCTTCGAAGTTTCGGTAACCTTAGAATCAAAGATGGAAGAGTCGGCCAAGCTCGTCCTCTCAGTAGAGGACGTTGATCCAGCATTGTCAGCCATTGTTTGTACTTTTCTACGTTGGCTGAAAAAACAAAATTTGAATAAAAATACATGAAACAAATACCATCGTTGGGCAAAAACAAGCATTAGGGGCTCTTCTTTTATACCTAGAATTTATAAAAAGCATCATTACCCATTTTTCTTAAAACTGAACCAAAGAAAATCACTCAACTTCTCTGGGCCTCAGTTTCCTCTTCTGTTAAAATAAAGATAATAATACCTGACTCACAGGAATATCATAAAAACAATTTATCAAAAGTACTCAGAACATTAGGTGACATAGAACGAACACTCAAAACGTACTCATAATTATTCTACCTGTCTCCTCCACATCTTTGCCCTCAGCCAACCTATTTCTCTTCCTATATTCATTTATAATACCACCATCATGCCCTAAAAACTCCCACTCAAAACCCAGATCCATCCTTCCTCTTTCCTCTACCTCATTCACCCTCACCAAAATTCCAATCAATCCCATTTCAAGTATCTCTGAGACCTGGCCCATCTTCTCTAAGCTCAATGCCACAATAGCCACTTGGTCAAATACAACAGCTCCACACAACTTTCTCTGCCACCAGTTTCTTCAGAAGTCACTCTTCACAGGGTCTTCAGGGGTATGGTCCTAAAAACAAACGTGACCATATAACTTCCCTGCTTAGAACTCCCAGGAGCACTCCTCCGTATAATGACCAAGTCCAAATTTACCATCCAGTTTACAATTTGGTCCTAGCCTACCTATTCTGCCCCTCTCCTCTAATTCCTCCAGTCCACAATACTGTATGCTCCAGCCACAATTTTTCAAATACAGATCACAATTTACTCCACACCTACTTGCATTTAATAGTGCTCAATTCTCCACCTAGAATGTCTTTCAACCCCCAACCCACCAGTCTTGACTCATCCTCTGTGGATTTCTCTGATCCTCTCATGTGTAATTGGATTGCTCCCTTATCTGTATTTTCACATTACTTTACAAAAGCCTCTTCTTTAAAAGATTTAACAAAACAATTATGCATGGGTTAGTACCAATAACTCTAGATTGTGAAACAAAATCTTTTTTTTTTTTTTAAAGGTTTCCAGGACTTAAGAGTTGAAAAGTTAAGCAAGAAGGGAATGAAGAAAAAGTTGAATAGACTGCCATCAATTCAAACTGGGGTTTTATATACATTTATTATCTTCAAGTATTGGACAAATATAAAGAGGAGGGCTCATCTTTATCTGGAGGTACATGTCTGATCTAATTTACCCTTTCCAGCTTTTACAGATTAATAAAAAATATAAATAGCTTCCACCAGATTCTTAGCAAAATAATAGTTTAAGTAAACTGTATGCTGTGGAGAAGCATTAAGGCATCATTAGATTATTTCTGGATGGTGATACTAAGTAGTATGAAGATGTACACATTAATAAAATAATAGACCTAAAAGCACAATTGTCAGGTCAGGCGACTCAGCTTCCAGTGTCAGTTCTGCTTGGTTACTTACTAGGGTAACTAACTTACTAGGGTAAGCCTCAGTTTCCACACTGGTGAAAGAGCTAACAGTACAACTCAAATCCAGTAGTTATGAGGAAAATTGAATACATGTCTTCAAATGAGTGACAAGTATCAACTCTCAAATAAAATTCACACTGTGGACATTTCTTAGTGTCTTCCCAAAAATCCATGTCAAGCATTATCCTAAGGCTCTCCAAAAGAGTGCTCCAACAGTTGTTAATAAGAGTCTTTATCTAGAATCAATGATAAATTCCATACAGCTGTTACTTTTTTGTTACGTCTCTTTCACTTAATTGTTTTCAGTAAAAAAGAAAAGACTCTAAACAGGCTTTCATTCAAAGTTCCCTTAAAGAATATTTTTTTAAAAGTCAAGAGATGAACTAACCTGCTTTAAGGAATGGAGGAGAGAGATTTTAATAAGTCAAAAACTCTATGAGTTCACATTTTTCTCCTGTGTCTATTTAAAGACTATCAAAACAGGTAACTAAAAATTAAAGTTGTCTCTGATGGTACTGTGTATGATCAATTCATTGCCGAAACAGCTTTAAAATTTAGGAAAAAGCAGCTGCACGTTAAATTTATGACATAACATCCAACAGTTTGATTGCAAACTGAAATACACTCTTTTTCATTCACGTATTCTGTAAGCTTTTAAAATAAACACAATAGGATTAGTGTTCATAAACCTATACAGCTTATTTCCCATCCAAGAACATATTCCAGGAGCTTCTGACTAAATACACTAACTATAACACAGGCCTCTTTTAATCTCAAAGATAAAAATTGTCATTTAGACAACTATTCACTTTAGGCTTCCTTTTATTCACTTTTTAGGCAATCATTTTCACGGTGGAGGAGCTAAATGCAATACTGGATCTGTTGGTGTTACTGACAATCATGTTATTGTTAACATTATAATTAACAACTAACACATTTAACGCTTAGTAAGTGGCAGATATTGTGCTAAACCTTTCCCTTGTATTTCTTAAATCTTTGCAGCAATCCTATAAGGCAGGTACTATTATCCCCATCTTATAGATAAAGAAACCTAGAACGGAGAGGTTAAGTAACTTCCCCCAAATCGCACAGTGAGTGGTAAAACAGGGATTCACAGCCGGGCTGATTCCAGAGGCTGCGCTTGTAACCACTAATCTGTACCGGGGAGGATGGGGGGGCGGCGTTTTACAGAAAAACCAAACTTCCCACAAAGACGCCAAGCAGAATCCTGGAGCGAAATCACCAAGTACCCGGAGATAAGCGCCCAAAGGCTGCAGCTGCCGGGCCCGGAGCCACAGAGGACAGGGCGGCTTGCCAAGACCCCCTTCCAACTCCCTCCCTGCACCCAGAATCTTCCGGAAATACCTGACCAGGTGAGCGGTGAGGACCGGCTCCCCTCGGCGTCACGAGCAGCGCGGGGAGCGCGGGAGAGTTCACGCAGCCGGGCAGCCGGGGCTAGGGCGCTCCGGGATTCGCGGTCACCGGGGCGGGGCTGTCCGAACAAGCCACGGGGCCCCCTGCTTCGGTGAGCGCTGCCCGGCTCCCACCGCCCCCATCCACCCCCACGGAGTCCTCACCGCTCTTAAAAGACGCCCAGGACGTTCCACCGCTTCAAGCGCCGACTCGTCTCCCGGTCCCCGCCATTCCTCGCCGGTGGCAGCCACCGCAATTCAAAAGTGAGCCGCTCTCTCTAAGAGCCATGCCGATTGGCGCGTGATGTCAACCTCCTTCCCATAGGCTGGAGCCTCCAGAGAGGGCGGTGATTGGCCGCTGCTCTCCGCCCGCCTCCCCGGAGGCGCCGACTGATTGGTCGTGCGTGTGTTTCAAATAAACCCAACGACTCGGACGCCGGGACGCCGGGACGCCGCGAGATTGTAGAGTAGTGCCCGGATGTGACCAGCAGTGGGTGGTGGTGGCCCCTGCTCTGGGAGTAGCAGGTGTGTCTGTGGCTACCGCATGTTTACTCAATAAACATCATCCCGTTTCCTGAAGGCCGTTTGAGTGGATTCTCCTCCCCTCGACTTTTTTCTTAAAGCGGCACCACCCCTTTAAACCTAGTGCCTCCACAGATGCGTTTTTCTGGTTGCTGTGAGCTGTGAGATTTTTCTGCCTGCATCCTTTCTGCTTTAGGAATTTAAAGTTGGGTCAAGGGGTTTTGACTTCGCTGGTTGTGTCGGCTTAGCAGGCTAAGGACGCGGGAACCCGGGTGCTCTCCAGGTCGACTTCCAATTAGTAACCGCTTATTATCCCACCCCCCATCTTTAAATCCTCATGTATGGAAAGCAGTGTGCTCTGGTCTAGGGAACTTCACGGATGATGAGAATAAATTCTTAGGGCATCTCACACTTTTTTTTTTTAAATAGAAGCTTGCATTTGAGCAAATGTAAAAATATGTCATGAGAATCTAGAATTTCCTGGAGCCAAAAGAAATTGCTTCCTGCTGCCCCCCACACACAAACACCCCCTCTGAGATCTTTTACTTTCCCCTAAAGTCTAGGCAAAAGTATATCGTTCTTTCTGTAATTACTATTGCTATTATAAAAGAAATCTTTTATTTACTTTATTTCTCTAAATATAATGCCCTGTAACACAATCTCAAGTAGAACACCCCTCCCCCCGATGGGTTTTGCATAGTTTCCTCCTAATCGCTGATTTAAACAAAAGAAGAAAGGGAATCCGTTGCCAGAAGCTAAATCCCAATAAGAGGAGGAAAACAGACTTCCGAGCATCTCAAAACAGGTTGTGGGGATTTACAATTGTTCCTAATTTTGTCAGGCCACTTTAGAATACCTGAAGAGGTTGTGATCCAATCCACAAAACAAGTAAGCAGTCTGGTAATTACTGATTTCCCTGGATTGAGGAATATTTAGTCTTCTCTGCATTATGATGCCTTGATAACCGTTAGGGCAAAAGAAGAGAAAAACAGTCATTGAAATTGAACTTTGGAATGTGCTTGCGTAAACTAGGGTGTGCCCAGCATTCCAAAAATTCTCATCACTGAAAATATATTAAGCTAGTGAGCAAAGCAGCCTATTTCCTCTGTGCACTGCTCCCTGCTAAACAGGCTTTGCACCCAATCTAGTGATTGACTATATGGTATCACCACACAAATTACACGCTAGCCTAGCAAAAGCTATACTTGATTCCTTTTAGGGGATATATGGCAGTTGGACTAGCAAATAAGCAAGCAATACAATCTTTTAACATTTCCTAACCATGTAACCTCCTTTTCCATTTCCTAGCTATGTGATCTCAAGTTATTTAACCTCTCTGTGCCTGTTTGTCCTTTTAAAAAAGGGCATGATAGTACTTACCTCATAGTGTGAGGATTAAAAGAGTTAATATATGCAATTAAAACATATTCTGGCCTACAATAAATTCAATAGGTGTTAGCTGTTATGATTACTACTACTTTTACTACTGTTGTGGCTGCTGCTACTATTAACTACTGCTGTTATGTCAGCTGAGGTCCCGTAATTGCCTGATGGGACTGATGGGTCTCTACACTGCCTTCTCACCCCTGACCACAGGAGCAATGGCACCTGCTTCTGTTGCCTTTGCCCCACCCAACCCCAGCAGCAAATCCCACCCCCCATCAGACCAAGCTTGATGTAGTGAAGACCTCCCTGCGTTCTTTTCCTACCAGAGGGAGAACAGTCCTTCTACACCAAAGCTCATCTCCCTCTTCTCTTTTAAGGGAAAGCCTGCTGTGTTTAGGCCATTACCTCTTGTTTAGAAGACATCGCCCTCTTGCTGCTGCCCTTGACCACGCTTCTGTCCCCTTCCAACGGAGACACTAGGCGAGATTCTTTGTGTTAAATGTTAGCCTCCTCCTCCAGGCTCCTTCACTGAAAATATAATTATTGAGTTCCTATGTCAAGAGGACAAAACTAGTTAAAGTATAGCATAGACAGATCGAAATGAGAAGTTCTTTGGAAGAATAAACCATTAAAAAATACTTATGTGTCATCCACAACTCCTAAAATGCTGAATGAACAAGTTTCAGACAAAAAGTACTAAAGGAATTGAACTGAATTTGATTATTTAGTATATTAAAGTGTCTGACATATTTTCCGCAAGCAGTAAAATCATTTCCAAGGTGGATAAAATGAAATAGAACTACTGAGCTTCCTCCTTTGGAGGATCAACTTCCTCACCTCCATCTCTGAATTGAGTGACACTCTGGAGCATCTTTCCTGACTCCCATCTTACACTTGATCCTCTTCCAGTTTATTCCCTCCTGATTATTCATATTTCCTTTCTTTCCTTCCCTCCTGCCCCATCTCCATCTTCTGTTGTCATCTACCCTCCTTCAAAGCAACAGAGAATGGAGAGTTAGGAAAGTTAGTTTTGGGTTTTGGAATATACCCACTCTCACTGACAAGTGCACACTGCCCATCAACCACTCTTCAAATCAGAGTGAACAAGATTTCTCACACCTTTGTAGTTTGTTCTAATCTACTAATAAGAACTAGCATATCTGAAAAATTATTAAATTTGTTGCAACAAATGGCAGCATTTGTTGTAGTGGTCTTTGTTTTTATTACCTAAAGTTGTGATGACATATATTACAATTTCTAGATTTTATTTTTAAATGCAAAATGTTAATCAACCAATAATAACTATTTTATAGTAAATTTAAATATTTCATCATAGGATTAAATGTTTTACTGTAACTAAATACTAACATTGTCATGTCACATAGATCTCATGTAATTGTTTTTCTCCTCTATCACCATCCTTACCCCATCAAAGCATTTATGAAGTACATAGCTACATATAATGCCACACTAGGTATAGTCACAAAGATTCAGTCCCTCTAAGAACTTATCACTTAAGATTTTTATTTCAAAAATTTTAATGAATAGCCATGAAATTCTGTCCTTTCTTGGAATTATTAACATTTTCCAATTAAAATGTCATATTTCTGAGTTGGTTAATACAGCATCTTCTAACCTGTCATCTCTGCCTGTAAAACAAGCTTTAGAAATTATAATCACTGTGAGCCAGAAGAAGCTATTTTACACACTTCAGTAGTCAGTAATTAGGATACGAATCGTTGCTTTATTCATATGAATCATTAGGCTATAAATCACTTGACATAGATTTGCAAGACTATCCAAATCTAGCACTTAAAATTTCACTTGGACAAATAGAATTAGCTTTCCTTGACGGAGTAAGTGGTTTCCAAATATGATGAGGCCATTATTTCAAATTATATAATTTGATTAGCAAAATTTTAGATGTGGAAAAAAAATCTCAGTTCATTAGTCTCAGTCTTTATTTTACAGAGGAATTTTACCAAGGCCAGCAACATAGATGTTATAGTCCTTTACCAAGGTCAGGCAGCTAGTTAGTGGCAAAACCACCATCAAAAGTTTTAGGTCCATTAATCTAGTCTCTCTTTTTATTAAAGTTATTAATATTTATGCTATATATTTTACTTATAAAAGTACCAATGTCTTTATTTGTAATGCTTATTTTTTTTACCTTTGAAAATATTAAGATGCTTTCAGTTCCATGAGAGCCTTGTTGGTCTTGTTCACCAACGTATCTCGAGCACCTCGCAACAGTTCTTGGCACGTAGTATGTTCTCAAAAGTTGTTGCATGCATAGCATTGCAATTGAAATCAAAGAATCCATATCGCCGCCTTCTAATCCATTCTCCAGCCTGCATTCAGAGCAACGTTATGCACATCCAAACTCATCATAGCACCACTGCTTAAAACACTTCAATCCTCCTGGGCCTGCATGGTCTGACCTCTACCTACATTTCCAGCTTCATCCTACACCATGTTCACTTTCTTTCTCTTCAATCCTATACCTGCCTTCCTTCTCAAAGACTTTTGCGCCTGCTCTTCTCTTTATTAATCCTCTGATCCCCATTCCTTTAACCTAGAGCTGGCAACTTCTACTCATCCTTTAGCATTTGCTCATTTACCACTCCTTGGAAGGTCTTTCCTAACTAGCCACACTATCAGAACTCCCATTATGCAGCCCTCAGCACCATGAGTATCTCTTTTGTAACTTATCAAAGATGTGACTATTGGATTGATGTTTGTCTCCTCCACTATCTAAGCTACTTCAAAGTAGGGAAAATGTCTTTTTGTTCATCATTTTATCCACAGTGCCTAGCACATAGAAGACACTCAAATATTTGTTGAAATAACAAGTGAATGAATTAATGAATAAATGAACTTATTTTTCTTATAATATCAGTGATGCTTTTCCCAAAGATACTAACAAAAGTTTCTATTATTTTTACTTTTATCTAACCCATTAGTTATGATAATTTTTCAGGAAAAATTAAGTGATATACTTCCAAAATTAATATATTCACATCAGGGGCCGGCCCTGTGGCCAAGTGGTTGAGTTCACGAGCTCCACTGCGGGCAGCCCAGTGTTTCGTCAGTTCGAATCCTGGGCGTGGACATGGCACCGCGCATGGAGCCACGCTGAGGCGGGGTCCCACATGCCACAAGTAGAAGGACCTGCAACTAAGAAGATACAACTCTGTACCAGGGGGCTTTGGGGAGTAAAAGGAAAAAAATAAAGTCTTTAAAAAGAAAAAATATTCACATCAAGGATAAAATTACTTTTATCATTAATTGACATTTGAGTAAATTACCCAAGAATGGAATGATTTTTGTACCACAGCTAGGCCAGCCCTGAGAGGAAGAGAGTTCAAGCTAATGGTGCTAAATTGATTTAGTTAAGACTTGCCAGTGTTTATGAACACAGTCAATTATCCATATGAAACATTCAGTTTTCCTACAACCTATGCTTTCATACATTATACACTAACACTCATAAATTCCCTCTTCCACACTATCTACTGACTTGTAAACATCTGAGTTATCTCAAAGTGATACTGTCTGCCAGTTTGGTTTTGGGAGCAACTCCATTGTGTAAAGAAGTATTTGCTATGACAACAATTTGAATACTTTGTACTTAGCAATATTTTTGTTGCTGCTGTTCAAATAATGGAAAAATGGAATTGCTAATACAGTTGAAATAAAAATGGAACCCAGGTCATCAAAAAATGATGGATATTTGGCCTCAATTGTATGCCCATTTGACATAAGCAGATTAACTGTGGGTTTAATAATGAAGGAAAAATTACAGGTATGCAATAATAGAAATGCATTTGGGGAAGATATTTAAAAGGTGAGATACAGTGTTACAAATGATATTCAAGTGCACAATGCAATTATATATAAATCCTATGCATGGAAAAACTTAACTGTAAAGAGATACACAAAATTTTCTTAGTATCTATATCTGGACAGTAGCATTTGGGGAGATTATTTCTCCCTCTCCTTTCCATTTTTCTGGCAATTTTCAAATTTTATGTCATGAGCATTTTAGTGGA